AAAAATAAAAAAAAAAAAAACAATATTATTTACTATTTTTTCTTTCTAGAAGTCAAGTGTTACCAAAAAACCTATAGATATTTCACAAAAATTTATGAAATATAAGCTTAAGTTTATCACTTAATATTACATACACATAGAGCCTATATACTGACAGTATGTCACGTATATTTGCATGAACAATTGGTACTTCAGACGAGATCAAATCCAAGACTTTTTATTTTTTCAGGTGATCTGAGAAGTAATTTTCAGGTATTAAATTAATACACCAATAATTGGTAATAAAAGCTTTCAACGATCAATTTATTATTGTAAAAAATTTATTTTGACGTACATAAAAAATACGCTAATTTGCGTATTTTTTTCTAAAATCTGCGTATATTACTTGTCTTTGTATTAAAAAATTTATTTTGTTTTGTCTGTGACAAGTTCGCAACGGCAATTAAATTATTAAATTAAACATAAAAAAAGGTCATGTTTAAACAACTGAAAATACAACGCTTAGCTTAGAAATACATTTCATCAGAAAAGCGGATTACAGAAATTTTGGAAGGCATAAATTGTGTGACACTTGAGTTCATACATTTCTTTTAACAAATTAATGATATGTTCGAGTGATTATAATATGTGATGCAGCATTTTAATAATAATTAAATGTACAATAATTGTAATAAAAGTATACGGTTAACAGTAATCTCGTGGAATATATTTTGTACTCTCTTTTTCTTTCTTTTTCTCTCTGCATTCATTATAGCAAAGCAAACATATGACGTAAAATTATATAGAATATTATTTACATTACAGTTTTAAGTAGTTGTGAAATTAAAGCATTCAGATTGAATTGAACACTTTAAACAAACTTCAAAAAAAGGTATAAAAATTAAGTAGTTCATTGAGATACATACATTAACTGTGAAAGTAAAAAGGCAAGAATTAAAAACAATACAGATATTGTTTCGAATATCATGTCAAGTAAATATTAGTCTAATTTTCTATCACAAGAACGAAACAGTAAAGCATTGTTATTTTACAATGTACATGAAATAAGTTTGTTCGTATTACATGGCAAAGCACCTTTATTGCACTAGATAAAAAAATAATATTCTTTGTAGTGTAACATTTTCAGGCAAAGAACGCTTTTTTAAAAATTCAATCACTGTTTTGTGTTTGCAAATTTTTAGTTTTGTTGAGCAATAAATTGGAGATGGCCTACTATTGGGTAAGCAGCTCAAAATTACTACTTGAACACCAGCATTTTACTCTAGGTAAAAAGTTTTGATCATATATTACACTAAGTTTGCCTCCACAGAGCAAGTAATGTTTCAATGAAATTCTCATTAGGTCACATTATAGTTGTATGTAGCAGGTATTATTTTGAATCACATTTGTCACACAGTATTATATTACTTATTCCGAGGTCCACACCCATGTCTTTTGTTATCATTAAAAAATCATGTATTCGGATCTCTTAACAGCTGAACAAAGGAAATCCTGCAGTACATAGTCGCTTATTCTATCACTAAATTATTAAAATATAAATATGAAACATTTTGTGTGAAATATTCATCTTGGATAGATGCTTTATATTGTAAAAAAGCATAAAAAAATTAAACCTATCTATTGCCATACATTTTTGTTAATTAACCAAACTAGAGTAAGCTTCAGAGTATAATGAAAAAATAGAAAAAAAATAAATCCAAGCGATCAGATTATACCTTGACAAAGTACAAAAAAAAAATATTATTCCTATAACATATGAACATCCTCTATTTCGATAAGTAGTGGAAGATTTTGTACTTACAAAGAAATAAGTTATTAAAAAAACGAAGTAGGTACAAAGCAGCCCAAATGACTGATCTTTAATATTCAATCTCATCATCTTGAGCATTCTCTTTTATGTACAAAGTCAAACAGCGAGTATAATATTGCACCTTGCAACTCTCAATAACAATTAAATTCTAATTTCAACAATCTTCCACGACAACACATCTACAACCTGTTAGATCCCTATGAATCGGTATGATTACTGATACAAAATGTTCAAGCACTGATTGAGAGTGTAAACCGTGGCATAGGCAGTGGCCTTCAGCACCAATAGTTCAGGGTCGAGATTCATGCTGGAGCTTTCGATGGCTTGGGCCAAGGACTGACTCTGTTTCTCGGCCTTGTTCAGCTGCTCACGGCAATTGGCAAAGGCGTCCAGGACCTCAAGTTTGGCCACGGGGTTGCTCACACAGCTGGTTGCCGCTCGTAGGCTGCTCGTGTGCTCGCGAGGAGGCAAGGGCGGGTGGCTACTCGCTATCGCTCGCGTGTACATCTCGATGACGGCACGCAACTTGTCCACCCATTCCTGGCGCGCTCGAGCGTCCGTGGCTCGTAGCTTGATCATGTCGCCTGTGCGCCAGGACACGAGAATGATGTTAAGGGCAAGAAAAAGAACCATGTTTCATGAGTGTGTGGTAACTTGGGTGCTATCAGTGATTTTGGGGATTATTGAAATAACGTAAAAGCAACTTATGCACCAAGTGCTTAAGCTACTTGTTTGCAGATGCCTATGTAGCTATTGTTTTTCACATGTGACAATGAGATTGTTATTCCGCAATTTAGCGATACATGATTATATATACTATTATTTATAAAAGGCATTGGGTCCCACAGACTTATGGGAAGAATAAATAAATGAATAATATTCATTGCTGACAAACTTGTGAGCTTCATCATTGGAACTTATCACAAGTTAGTCATACAACAGTACATTTCAATTGTTATTAGTGGAAAAGTAGCTTGAATACATAATTGTGTAAGACATAAGACATAAGTAAAGAATGCATGCACATATTATAAAAAACACTAACCTGTCGCTGAATTGACGGTGAAAGTGTTGGAATCTTCGTCGCTGGGAGCAATGACAGCTCCAGCTAAATAAATAGAACATCTTGGCCTCTGATTCTTTTCTGACTCGCTGAGGAAGTAGTGCAACTCACCAGTTTCTGGGCTCAATATGAACCACCTATACTGCCATCCTTTCATAGCATTTGTGTACTTGTAAAGTAAGCCCTCGTAAGGGTATCTCGTTTGTACATTCATTGCCATTAGTTGCAGTTGATCTTTCTGTTCTCGAAGATCATAAACAACAGTTCATCTTCCGTTTCAAATGTTCATTGTTTAAACACAAAATCTTGAACTATTTTAATTTACCACTTTATTTTGTTGAGGTATGAATATCTATCCACTGTGTGTACATACAAACTCTTTATCTACAGTGCATTGCGAGGATTGATATATACTTGCTTCTTAATTCAATTAACTATTTGAAACAAAAAAGTACTTATCAAGAAGAGTAAGTATATTCTACTACGTGTTCTCGGACTTGTGTATGTATGTTATGAATGATAAAACCAGAAATCACAGGTGTTCTGAATATTACTAACATATTTGTCACAACGATTTATTATACTTCTAAATTAACAATAGCATTCGCATATTTTCTCTGTATTATTGCCATTATTTAATTGTAATTTTACGCTGTTGGGAATAAAAGTCAATAAGCACATTACACTATTAACACTCTGTACGTAGTAAGTGCATCTTATAAGTACCTATATATTTATCTTACAATCGCTGATTGTAAATTTTCGATATAGTCCTTTATCGAAAATTTTCTACAACCAGCGCTATCTAGCGTGGCGAATTTTGAACCAAAATGTACCCATCAAACTTCCAAGAAAAATAACTAGAAGCAACTATGCTAGTAATTTTCTAGTTATTTTTTCTTGGAAGTTTCAAGCAGACACAAAAAATAGACTGCTCGTTGTTATATATACGGCGCTGAATCACAAGTAGAAGGCAACCCTTAAAATATTTAAGATGTTGTAAATTAAGAACACAAAGAATTTTCTTTAAAATTTTTATTTGTATTAAAACAAAAGACTTTAATTTTTACAGGAAACATCAATACAATTTATGTATAAAAAACGAACTTATAAAAATAATTCAAAAATCTTAAAACTAAGTTAAGACTTACAGCTTTAAAATTAGCATAAACTACAAAAATTGTTCTGCATTTAACCAGAATAAAGCTTAAATATGCTTAAAAAACTAGTGTTTGATATACAAGTCTTTGCTCTTGGAAATCAAGCACCTATACTTCGGAATCATCTTACGATTTGTTTATCTAAAACGTACTTGAATCTTTTTTGTTTTTTTGTAAAATAAACCTTTCGTCAATATTGGAAAATAAGAAGTAAAACTGCTTTTGCAAAAAACTTTTTGCCCTTTAACAATGTTCAAGTAAAATATTTAATTTTAGTCATTAACGTGAAGAGAAAATAAATAAATAACTTAATTTAAATCAATTTCATTTCAGTTAGTTTTAAGCGAACTATAGGCACTTCGATATTTGGAGAGCCATCATCATCTATTCCTACAATTTTTACGATGGCCTTTTCATTGAGCGGCAAAATATCAGGTATTGCCTTCTTGGCTGCCTCTGAGAGCTTTTCTGGGAACATGGTTGCTGGAGGAAAAATTAAAAAAACAAGCATTTTTAAAAGCTGTCATTAATGTATATAACGAGCGAGTAATGAAATCAGATTTAACTTACATTCCATGTTGCACAGAGTTCCAAGAGCCGGTAGTGTTAAGAAATCAGGTGTGATTTGACGAATATCCGTGTGTTTGACAGTTTCTGTATTACCATAATCGATGAAAAAGATAGTGGATTCATTTGGAGAGCAAACAGAATCTATACACAGTCCTCGGTAAAAACAGTCACAGTACATAGCTATACAGAGTTCCTCGTCTCTCGGTATGTAGTGACCTTTAACTGTTCCAATGTATTCTTGAATCTAATAAGGAAAAATATTCACTCTTTTTTTTGCTTATGAAACAAAAATCCTATACAATCATGATAAGCCTTTATACGTACCCTTTCAAGCATTTCACCATGAATAGCTACAATAGCATTTTCATCGTCTGGGGCTACTACAATATTGCCAGCTTTCTCATAATAACTTAGAACTATAACCTTCAACTCATCTCCGACATCACCGATTTTCAGGACTGGCAAGTTATTTAAGGAGTAGACTTGGCGATCTATTGAAACAAATGATAATGAAAAAATCATGTTTAATGAAATTGTGCGTCAACTCACTTAAGTAGTTACAAACTATAGCCAACATAGATTCAACATTCAAGTAATAAACAAAACTTGGGTTTATTTACAGACATAAAAGATCATTCAATTCTCATAATGTGAGTAAAATGTATTTCATGTTTTTTTTTCCCCTCAATTGAAACTGTTTATTTAGTCTATGTTGACTTAAGAGTAACGTGTTAGAACTTTCTTAAATGAAACTAAAGATTACTATATACCATTTTCAGGTTTTTTTGATTTCCAAGAAGGTTCCAAAGCGCTTCTACATACATCGTTAACAATCTCGTGGTTTTGAGTTTTCAAGATGACTCCATCTTTGATTGGATAACCTTCAAACGTACATATCAGAGATGCCTGGGATGCTATGAGGGACTGATAATAATCTGAAGCTTCTGGCGTTAAAGGAGTATTAGGGTCGATGCCTTTCAGTGTAATCTTAGCACAGCCCGCTTTTTGCTAAAGAAGAGAGTAATAGCTCATTAATAATATCGATGTGATACATAATTATTTCTGATATAGTTAAGTCTGTGAATACTTACAGATTTCAATGAATCGGTTAGCTTGAAAAGGTGCTTCAACGCTCTCTCTTCATCATTTCCGTAATCAATGTACTTCACCATAATTCTATCACCATCTACTTTAGTCACAACTGCTCGATAAAAGTTACCATCACTCTCAAAGGACGACAAAACCATTTCCCCAACAACAGGTTTTTCAGTAAGTGGTTGAGCTGTAAAATCAATTGTCAGCATTTCGAAAATAACATACATTAAAAAACTCTAAAACAATTGCACATACGATTACTCCGTGCGCACTTTGAAACTTCTTGTTCCAATAAGTGACATCGCTCCAATTCACTACTTTCATCAATTTTAACATAAGCTTTGTTGGCACTGACGAAATGCGTCATGATAATCTTGTTACCAGAGACTAATGTGGGCATTCGGATACCTTTCTGTTCAGGTATGGGAACCCACTTTTTTACCTGAGCTTCGATTTTAAAATTACTATCATCCGGGGATTCAATCGAGATTTTAACAGAATCCTTTGAAATTTTGAGAACTTTGAACATGCCTACGTCCATTGTATCAGGCTAAAAAAAAAAAAAAAAAAAAAAAAATTTGTTTTATACTTTGTTGACTTTCATTCACAGTACAGTGGCTGTTGGTAAATATTGCTAACCATTATGGTGTTGGATTCTAGTTGACAGACCAAGCCCATGCTAACAAGTTTATCAAACCCTTCAGGCAGTGGACAGTACCTCACCGGTGCAAAGAATCTACATTCGTCAATCACAGCGAGCATAACGATGGGTTTCACAGCTGAAACAATACCTCTGTACCATTCTTTTGATTCGTTTTCTCCACAAATGAAGTCACCAACGTTTGGCCTGAATAATTAATGAGTCCAATTGTTATAAAATCAATAGTTGCCCAAGTTTTTGTACGTTCATAGAAGATAATTGTCTTACTTGAAGCTTGGATTTTTTTGTAACATCTTGATACAACTTTCTGCTAATACTGTGACCAAACTATTAAACTGCTCTTCATTTTCAGTAGGCACGAAACTGACATTGTACTCATTCTGGCTGATTTTAGCGTGTTTCAATATGCAACCTTCCTGAGATTCCTGAAGTTCGTCGAGTACGTTTGGCAAACTTGTTAATTTGGACAGGAAAATATCGTCCTCTGTTGGAGCTGGTCTATTATCAACTGTGCCGTTTGATACCTGTTTTTTTTTTTTTGTTTAGTTAATATTTAATTTTAGGTTTATCTTTTACGTTTAATGAATTGCTTATTAAAAAAAAACTTTAACTACCGAATCGCTCAACTCTTTAGCAGGCTTTGCTTGAACAACAATACTTCCGTCTCCTATCACTGACACTGATTGAACAGATAAAGATTGTCCAACAGTTGAAAGTGTCTTCAGGCTTTCGTCAGCAGCATCAACGAGACAGATGCGACGAGCAAAGTATGGATAGTCACTGAATGTCTGATGGAAGACCTTAGATACTGCCAATTGGTCAACTATACCGTAATCATACAAGAAAACCTGCAACAAACGTGATTGTACTCTCAATACTTAATCACGAAGACCAAAAATAAAATTAGTGGGTAAATAAATATAAATACCTCTGATACGTTATCACTGATTGACGTTATTTTGGCACGGTACCATTCGCCTTCGTGCTGAAGCACGCAATTGACGTTTACTTCGGGCTTGACCATTTTTGCTTGCTCGGCAGCTTTAGCCAAAACGGCTTTGAACTTTTTAAAGTCTTCAAAATGATCAGCGCGCTGGACCCAGTACATGCCGCGTGAAATATAATTCGTGATGATAACGTCGACGAACCTGTCTCTTGGCAGAAACTGACTGGCTCCCTCGAATCTTATGTCATCGTCGCTGATTTTTTGTACCATGGCATTAGGGTCAGTTTGCTGCTGATAAGGAGTTCGCTGTTGTTGCTGAGGTCTTGACTGCTGTTGCTGCTGAAGTATCTGTGGAGACTTTTGATACTGTTGTTCTGGTCTTTGCTGTTGTTGTTGCGGCGATCTCTGTTGATACTGCTGCTGTTGACGTGGTTGATCATGGTTCGGTGAGACCTGCTTCTGCTGGCGCAATGAATTAAACGACGTTTGTTGTTCGTTACTATTGTGAATGCGATTACTCTGGAAAGATTCAGATCTATTCGGGCCATTCTTAGTTTCATCTTTAGGCAAGATGGCAATTCCGTTGTGATTTTTTGCTGATCCTGCTGGACTCTCGGTGCTTGGCTTGTTTTGTTGAGCTGCAAAAAGAATTATATTATAAAAAAATTGTAGTTACGTGCATATATACCCTCTTATTGTTTTATTTTTCAACAAAAAATACAAAATTTAAGAAAAAGTAGTTTGTATGTTTTATAGATTAATCCAAGCAACATCAAGCGCAATAAAAAAGAGTTTGCTGTCAATTTCTTAGCATCGCGGATTAATTTTTATTTATTACTAAAAACTTACTATTAGAAAATGTTAAGTAGAATTAAAAAAAAAAAAAAAAAAAAAAAAATACCGATCGCCAGTAGTTTGATGCATGAATACCAACTTAACCTTATGTTGGTTATGTAGTTTACCAAAAACGCAGTACCAATTTAGTACTGAATTAAATAGGTATGACATAATTTCTCAAAATTCATCATGCATTTTAAATCAATTTTTAATAAGGAAGAAAAAAAACGTAAATAAAATGCATCTTAGCATCGTAAATGCAATGCAATTACAGCTTAAGAGGAAAATGAAGATTCAGACTCGACAAGAAGCATGTGGATTTTGCCTTGATATTTGCTACGTTTCGACTTGTCTGTATAAGGAATGTGAATAAATAAACATTCGTACATTACAAACTTAATGTATTCTAATAGATTTCACACTTTGTGTAGAATAATTTTTACAATTAGTTGAGTTGTTTTGAAATATTCATCAAATAATTGTCAAGATGATAATGATTTATCACTACTAAACTACTTATAATGAAGTGAAAAATAACGATATTTCTTTTAGTTGAGCATCAAGAAAGTAAATGCAAATCGCTTAATTAAATAAAAGAGTAAAAAATGATTAATGAATCGAAAACATTAAAAATTGAAATATATTCAGAATCAGTCAAAATTTATATCATATAAAAATAAGACTCTAATAATCTTTTTCAACTTTACAGTATACACTGTTTTTTCAGTAGATTGGAATATTAACAGTACTAAAACGTAGCGAATACAAGTTAATATTCGTAGATGATTCTTATTAAAATATGTAAAATACTTCAGAGACAGCCCTCAATCGATCAGGATCTGAATCCATAGCGGGTGCGTACTGAAGGATAGAGAACCAAATATCAGTCAACTGTTTAGTCCTCAATTAGAAATAGTTTTTTTTATGTTTACCTGGCATAGGCGGTGATTCCTTGTTTTCAGTGGGCTCTTGACACTGAGATACTTTTGGCGAGGCTCGAACGATTTCTCCGGTTGGAGTCTGTTTATGGTCTTGGGGTACTTGTTCAGGTAACCCGTTAGTTAGATCATTTTCTGATATAGTCAAGTTAGATATTCTTCTGACTAGGGGCCTGTACAGATTGACAAAAAAAAATGTTTCACATAAATACGTACAAAATTTTAAAATATAATTATAGACGGTTATTACTTCAACTAAACTGTTACTTACGGAAGTGGTTGACAGTTTAATTTATGATTCGGCCAATCATTTTTTTGACACGTTCTGTTACAATAAAATGTAAAAGAGCATCTTTGACATCTAAATGATGTGGGAGAAGAGCAAACTTGACACTTTCCAGCTTCATCATCTATATCCTCCGAGGCAAACTCGTAATGTCCCTGTAGAAAAATGGAAATTAGAAAGTAGCTTCGACTACACCATCTTACATATCATGGGTGATGGTACTAAAAAACTTACATATTCTCGTTTTTCGTAGACTTTTTGGAGACAAGCCGGGATGTTATAATGTGGTTCAGGAAGATTATAGTAAGTGTAACCTCTACCACATGAAACTTGCCTCTGTCCGTCCTTGGATATGCGAGTTATACCCCTTTAGTTGTAAAACAATTACTTATTATTAAATGAAAACTTAAAAATATCTTAAAGCTTCTTACCTTGTATACATTAAGTTTGTGTTATAGTAGGGCCCTGGACCATCATATGGATTAAATGTTGTAGGATCATTTGAGCCAGGACAGGGGTACAGGATATCATCATCGGACGTGCGATGATCAGGACGGAAATTTGGCGTGCAGTTGGGTTTACCCATACTTATGGATTTCTTCATGTTTTTAAAGTCACTATAATATAGAAAATAGTTACTAGAACTGCAGGAGACAAACGCAAGTCAACATTTTTATACAAAAAATATTAAGACTGAACTTACACATCGTACGAGTTGTATCTATGATCTAGAACAGGACCAGATAAATCTATGGTAGCTGGCTTATGAAGGCTTCTTAATTTCTTATCTTGAAACTGTAAGTTCATTTTCAACGGCAACTTCTGGTGTAATTCGTGAATTGCTCGTTCAGCAGCAGTATAAGAAGAATAAGAAATAAACGCTTGGTTTTTATTTTTAACCAACACATAACCAGTTACATGCCCAAACTCGGAAAAAATATCCTTGACTCCATCCTATTTGCAAAATATGAGGATCAATATGAATATATTACTGAATCAGGTATGTAATTGAAAAGAAAAGGAGGTTGTAGATACTTACTTTTTCCAACTCGGATGGAACATTTGTAACAAACAACGTGTAGGCAGGTGTCCTGAGTGAAAACATACGTACATAAGTATGTGTTCATGAAATACTTATTAATGTTATGGCAAAACATTCAATATTTTTGAGCAAGCTAAATAATCTCAAGAAAAATTATCAGCACACTAGTTTAAATAACACTTACTCTTCAGCACCAGGTGCTGTTGGAGCCGGCTCGTTATTGAAAGTGTCAGATGCCATCTTTGGCAACTTCTTTCTAGTCTTCCAGTGTTTCGTAAATTACTCTGAAAATTTTTAAACGTTAGTCTTTCAATTAAATAAAAAAGAACAAGGTCAATGGATGAACATCATCTACAAAAAGTATTGGGGGAAAAAAAGCCAACTGTACCTCTAGTCCATCACAACTAACAAATAAACTTATAACTTCTACAGTAAGAATGAAACACTATGTGTACTTTTCTTGTTTACAAGGGAGCATATGAATTAAAAACAAACTTTAAAAGACGCCAGGTGAGTCCTAACCCACGCCAAAGGGACACAACTCGCGGGGGACACGTGTTTGTGCCGAAAATCTAAACACTAAACATATACCAAAATCTACGGACAAAGAAGGCAGTGTCCTTGAACCTCAGTGGGTAAGTATAAACTGTATAAAAAAAAAAACACTGAAACATTCTTAGAATTTTTCCCCTTCTCGAACGAGTGATATAAAGATAACATTAATTGCTTTAGCAAAGCACGAACCAATGTTGCAAAAGTTCTGTACGATCGATTCAACAAGCGGGTGTGAGTATACGGAGTGTTGTCAGTTGGGTACCTTATCATGACGGAGATTCGACAACCTGCACCGGATGTGCTATACACCGGGGACCACACGTTTTCTGGCCATGTACTTACGGGCGAACGAGGATCCTTAGATTTTGCGATTTTATCTTAATTTAGAGGAACGATTGAAAGTGCATTCTCATCGGGTTACAAAGCACAGTACAGATGCATCTACAAATACGAGCGGCATCGCGTGTTTGTGGTTAGATAGAAAAAAAAGGCACGTTCTTACCTCGAGGATGGCTGTCAGTCGTTGGAAAAGCAGCTAACTTGGCACGAGCACAATGATTATTATACTTAGTTAATCGAGTATAAACGTTGCCAACGCGGTAAGAGCGCATTAAAAATTGAAGACAATTAAAACAAGAAAAAAAGGATGTTGAAGCGAACTTAATCCTAGTCACGTTCTCGACAAGTAACCGAGAAAGAGTAAAATGGTGGCTCGTTGAACTTTTCCACTAACCGGCAAATCGGGCATATTTCCCTCTCTTACCACAATACGATCAGCCAATCAGAGTGGGAGCAAATGGGAACAACAAACCACCGGCCATATTGAGATTTCGACCAATAATCGCTTTGGGAGTTGCATCATTTCCAATATGGCCGAATATTCGTTCAAAACACGCGCAAGAGCACGCATGTCAACCAACGGATCTTCATCTTGATTGACTTTGACAAATACTTAACTGTTTTTGGCATAATAAAACAATTGAAAAATGTTTGTAAATTTACAACAGCTCTTGGTAAAGAAGATTTACTTTGTCTGATGAAGTAACAACACCATTCGTGAATGTAGCTATGCTGCAGTATTGGAAATAATGAACTTGATAATCGAGTGCGGCGTTTGTAATTTTTTTGTAAAAATTTTGTATTTCATCAACGATGAATTTTAGAGTGTGTTTTTGAAATGGTAGTTTTCCTACGAGTTTGAAAAGTCTTTGTTTGCGAACCGAGAGGTTTGCGGCCCGAGCCGAAGGCGAGGTCCGTAACGAGGTTCGTAAAGGAGACTTTTCGAACGAGTTCCGGAAAACTGCTTTTTCGCCCGAGGAAGTACCAGCCTCCCAAAACCACCCGAGGGCGGAAATAGTAGTTTTCCTACGAGTTTGAAAAGTCTCTGTTTGCGAACCGAGACGTTTGCGGCCCGAGCCGAAGGCGAGGTCCGTAACGAGGTTCGTAAAGGAGACTTTTCGAACGAGTTCCGGAAAACTGCTTTTTCGCCCGAGGAAGTACCAGCCTCCCAAAACCACCCGAGGGCGGAAATAGTAGTTTTCCTACGAGTTTGAAAAGTCTCTGTTTGCGAACCGAGAGGTTTGCGGCCCGAGCCGAAGGCGAGGGACGTAACGAGGTTCGTAAAGGAGACTTTTCGAACGAGTTCCGGAAAACTGCTTTTTCGCCCGAGGAAGTACCAGCCTCCCAAAACCACCCGAGGGCGGAAATAGTAGTTTTCCTACGAGTTTGAAAAGTCTTTGTTTGCGAACCGAGAGGTTTGCGGCCCGAGCCGAAGGCGAGGGACGTAACGAGGTTCGTAAAGGAGACTTTTCGAACGAGTTCCGGAAAACTGCTTTTTCGCCCGAGGAAGTACCAGCCTCCCAAAACCACCCGAGGGCGGAAATAGTAGTTTTCCTACGAGTTTGAAAAGTCTTTGTTTGCGAACCGAGAGGTTTGCGGCCCGAGCCGAAGGCGAGGGACGTAACGAGGTTCGTAAAGGAGACTTTTCGAACGAGTTCCGGAAAACTGCTTTTTCGCCCGAGGAAGTACCAGCCTCCCAAAACCACCCGAGGGCGGAAATAGTAGTTTTCCTACGAGTTTGAAAAGTCTTTGTTTGCGAACCGAGAGGTTTGCGGCCCGAGCCGAAGGCGAGGGACGTAACGAGGTTCGTAAAGGAGACTTTTCGAACGAGTTCCGGAAAACTGCTTTTTCGCCCGAGGAAGTACCAGCCTCCCAAAACCACCCGAGGGCGGAAATAGTAGTTTTCCTACGAGTTTGAAAAGTCTTTGTTTGCGAACCGAGAGGTTTGCGGCCCGAGCCGAAGGCGAGGGACGTAACGAGGTTCGTAAAGGAGACTTTTCGAACGAGTTCCGGAAAACTGCTTTTTCGCCCGAGGAAGTACCAGCCTCCCAAAACCACCCGAGGGCGGAAATAGTAGTTTTCCTACGAGTTTGAAAAGTCTTTGTTTGCGAACCGAGAGGTTTGCGGCCCGAGCCGAAGGCGAGGGACGTAACGAGGTTCGTAAAGGAGACTTTTCGAACGAGTTCCGGAAAACTGCTTTTTCGCCCGAGGAAGTACCAGCCTCCCAAAACCACCCGAGGGCGGAAATAGTAGTTTTCCTACGAGTTTGAAAAGTCTTTGTTTGCGAACCGAGAGGTTTGCGGCCCGAGCCGAAGGCGAGGGACGTAACGAGGTTCGTAAAGGAGACTTTTCGAACGAGTTCCGGAAAACTGCTTTTTCGCCCGAGGAAGTACCAGCCTCCCAAAACCACCCGAGGGCGGAAATAGTAGTTTTCCTACGAGTTTGAAAAGTCTTTGTTTGCGAACCGAGAGGTTTGCGGCCCGAGCCGAAGGCGAGGGACGTAACGAGGTTCGTAAAGGAGACTTTTCGAACGAGTTCCGGAAAACTGCTTTTTCGCCCGAGGAAGTACCAGCCTCCCAAAACCACCCGAGGGCGGAAATAGTAGTTTTCCTACGAGTTTGAAAAGTCTTTGTTTGCGAACCGAGAGGTTTGCGGCCCGAGCCGAAGGCGAGGGACGTAACGAGGTTCGTAAAGGAGACTTTTCGAACGAGTTCCGGAAAACTGCTTTTTCGCCCGAGGAAGTACCAGCCTCCCAAAACCACCCGAGGGCGGAAATAGTAGTTTTCCTACGAGTTTGAAAAGTCTTTGTTTGCGAACCGAGAGGTTTGCGGCCCGAGCCGAAGGCGAGGGACGTAACGAGGTTCGTAAAGGAGACTTTTCGAACGAGTTCCGGAAAACTGCTTTTTCGCCCGAGGAAGTACCAGCCTCCCAAAACCACCCGAGGGCGGAAATAGTAGTTTTCCTACGAGTTTGAAAAGTCTCTGTTTGCGAACCGAGAGGTTTGCGGCCCGAGCCGAAGGCGAGGTCCGTAACGAGGTTCGTAAAGGAGACTTTTCGAACGAGTTCCGGAAAACTGCTTTTTCGCCCGAGGAAGTACCAGCCTATTAATACCACCCGAGGGCGGAAAAAACCTTTTTAACAAGTTGTAAAGAGACTTCGGTCAGGTGTATAAAAGTGTATCTAAAATTAAGCTTTTAATTTATTTATTACATCATCTTGTGAGGAACAGAAAAAGAATTAATCACTATAAAAAAGGGCATCATTATAATTATGCGAACGACGTAGTAAAATTTACTAAATTTGTGGCATATTTATTTTGTGGTGTAGTAAATAAACTAAATAGAATTATTTTCAATAATGTAAGTTTATAATAAATTAAAAAGCATTTTTTTAATGTGTAAAAAATTGCGTATTATTAAACAATCTGTTTTAAATAAATAATGTAAGAGAGTACTCTACATCGAACGTTACATTCGAATTGTTGATGATTTTAAATAGAGCAGTGCTTACATATATATATGTATGTATCACCTACATTTATTTTCTCCGAATTTCATATTATAAATAATTACTTGAAAGTTATACATGTATGATATACACGTAATATAAGACGGATCACTAAATGAGGAAATTTATAACAGTAAGAGCACTAAATTTTACAATTCAAAAGTTAAGTTGTTATATATATGCTATAAATTGTCATGCGATTCATTTTGAACGTATACTTACATTCATAATTAAAATATGCATCAAAATATACGTACAAACTATAACTTTGTAATTATAATAGCATCAGATTAATTATTACATTAAATTACTTATGCTCCACGTGTTTTTTCGTCAGTTTATTAAATATGTTTTATGATAATTAAGTTTTATCCAAGTTAATTACTGTAAAATATTGTGTTATTCAAGTTATACTTGTGCAAAAAAATAAAAAGTTTTTTTAAAAACTGTACAATGGGTTTTATTACTTGGTTGAACTTCTCATCAGCTTTGAGTATTGCTGAAATGTAATAAACATATCCTTTTGTAGAATAAAAAACTGTACGACGTGTTAAAATTTCAGGGTAATCGGAAGTGGGTCTACAACTACCTCGTTTTGTTGTAATTTTTTTTATTGTGTCGAAAAATTATCAATAAAAAAAAAAAAAAAAAAAAAATGCAAAACTTATTGGAGTGCTTGCATGTTGTTTTAACATTTTTATTTCAGAATTACATGAATATATCTATGCACGAGCTGAAGCTGCGACTGTAATGAGAATACTGCAGCTGTAAAGTGGAGGACTAGAGTTCGAATCCTATACAGTCCTCCGATCACATTATTTTCGTGTACTCGTAGCTTTTATTTTCATATGGTTGTCCTTACATTGCCATACTTACGTGACAATTACTCTTCGTTATTATCATAGTGCAATCCACGCAGCATGTAGTCAATAAGCGTCTGTTTAAATAAAATTTTACATTCTAATCTCCATTGAGATAAACTACCGATTCGAAGAAGAAATTATTCTAATGATATACAAACACATGAGTTTATATAATTTACGGAAGGTCAATTTACACATAGGTATATGTAATTCGTTATCGATGATATATGTTATCTCGGAGTTTTCGAGCTTTCGTAATTGATGAGTTTGTTGGACAATAATATGTGATTCTTTAAATGTGCCACCAATAAAAATTATCGCAAGGATGAGGATTCATTTCCCTTAACCGTTTTATATTGAGGATATACGTTGGATATTGTAAATAATAATAATATATGATGTGTGCAAAACGTATGTATACCAGATGTATACTTTTAGTTGTTCGATAAGTATGTTTTTACAATAAATAACTCGATGGGTTATTTGTACTTTCGAGCAGCGTCAACTGCTCTCGATGAGTGGCTGGTACCTATATAAGTAGTAATGTTTATTCATTCATAAATTCTTCTTTCTTGTTTTTTTCTAAAAAATTACCATTTTTATTTCATGTTTAAAAAAAATGTTAAATCAAATTTTTTTTCCAAGTTTTCCTCGAATTATTTCATAATTAAAATACATTCACAAGTACGTAGTGATTTCGAGCAATGAAGTTCAGCAACAGATATCAATAGCGGTGAAAAAAAAATCATGTTTCAAATGTTAAAAATTTAACGAAGCTCCAGTTTGATCCACACGCGTAAAATAATACTCGAAATTCATGCCTTTGTGTAAAATAAACCATGTCAATCAATACAGGGGTAGGTATACGTACCGCGTAAGAAAGTACAACGTAAGTATATACAGGTACTCGACACTCGCAAGGAAATTCTTCAAATGAATATTCATGAAAATGTCATGTACACCGATGATAAGTGAGCGTATATTTAACAAGCTGAAAGCACGTACCATATGTGTATGTATATGTGTATATGGTTGTCATGGTAACGCACGCAACATTAAGTCCACAAATGTATCGGTAACGCGTAAGTGTGTCGTTGCACGCCGCTTCCGAGGCATTTATTGTTAGTTTGACACATTGCATCGATGTTTATTCATTTTGTCGATGATTTTCATCCCTCGTTCGAGATCAAATGATGCCCCTCGGGTGTAAAAAAAAATGCACGAGTTGAAATCCGCCAAAATCCAGCCGCCAGTAGTCGTCGCGCTGTTGTTGTTGTCAAATTTACCGCTAGTTGCCAAATGTTTCAGTGAAAGTGAGAATTATGTCTTTGAGTACAATCATCCGAGAAACTGCAAGAGCAGCGAGTACTTTGACACCGAGACCTTTTTGTGCGTCGAGTGCGACCTCAAGAAAAATTTGGAACCATCGGAAAATGGTAAAATATGATCCCTCTCAGCTGTATACTGTCAAAAAAGCCCGTTTATATATTATACATTCAAGTTGCCATTTAATTTTTCAAACATGCCAATGCACACAAGGGCTGTGCAAAAATGTTTGTACTCTTAAAATATCTTGCACAAGCTTATATATCAATAAAGACCACAAAAGATATTTTTGTCTGCGTACAAAACTCCTCTAATTTTGGCACAAACACTGTGCCCGAAAAAATATATATATATATTTCGTATACAACAACATTGCGCACAATCCTTGTGTGCACTGGGCATAATAGTTTACCGAAAATTGCGCCCTCGAGTATGTGTGAAAAATATATATATTTTCCAGGTCTGTCGTGCGCGTGCAACGAGCACAGCAGAAAAATCGGGTACGAGTTTGATTTGCCAAAATGCGAAGCGTGCCAATTGGGTACTATTTTGACTTCTGACAAAAAAAGCTGCATTCCCTGCAGGAGAGGGGACAATTTCACCTGCAGTTGTGCCATGAACGAAGTCAAAGGTAATTTACACTTGTGGGACCTAATAATGAAAAAAAATATACCCTATTGAAACGAGCAACGAAATTTGCAGTTGAAAGAGACGCGAACGGTGATTTGTTGAAAGCGCTGAGGTGCGTCCAGTGCTCGGATAACAGTTACCCATCGTCGGATGGTACGAGGTGCATTGCCTGTCACAACGCGACGACGACCAGCCACGTGAACTGTGCCTGTCCACTGACGACTCACGTCAGGATCGAGGATTACTGCTTTCGCAAACACGAGATCGACCTGATGGACGTGCGCAGCACGTACTTGGTCCAATTTGCGGGAGATAGCGTTGACAGCTACTACTTTAGGAAGGAGCTCAGGCTGTCCATGTATCTTTGCAAGGTGTGCTTTTATCGCAGGCAATTTTTTTTCCTTCCTTGATTTTTACGAAATAATACTGACGAGAACAGGTACGTAAAAGTCACTGAAAAGCTCAATGTCATGAAATAAAAATATTAATTTAAAAAGTACAATAAAAATAGCTGGTACTTGATGGTAACTTTAAAATGATTTCTTTTTTTTTTTTTTTTTTCCTCGTAGAATTCACTTGTAGTAGAAAATACAACGTCACAATGAAGCTGTCCAGTTTTTCTTATGATTTATAAGATGTCATTCAGGACGAACAAAACAAAAATGAAAAGAAATAATTTTAATGTTACTATCGTTTGCCATTAGTTTTTGGCCAAGGTGATTTTCACTTGTGGGGTATCTGTATTTTAAAAAAGAAAGACTGTACATAGGTGTATAGGTACAACTGAAAAAAAAAAAAAAAAAAAAAAAAAAAAAAAAAAAAAAAAAAAAAAAGGTAAAAAACTAAAACGGTGCCCTTTTTCCCTTTCGAAGGACGGCGACAGAACGGCGTGCGAGCGTCTGGCCAACATGTGCGCCCTGACTCTGACGGACAAGAGCATAGCCTGCAAGGTGTCAAAGACCAAGCAGGACAACTCGTTCACGTGGAGGTTTTACGAAACTGGTAGCGGCCCGGTTGTCACCAACGACGAGATTATCCCCGTCAAGTACACTTTGAACAAAAACGACGAGGTGAGCGTGATTAAGCATATGATTAAGAGAATCATTTTGTATATACGTACATGCTTTGTCGTTGCAGAACAGCCACTTGAACTTTACGATAGCCACGTACTCCCTCGACGGGGACTTGAGGTACATAGACACGCCGAATTTGTTTTGCACGTTTTTGAGCAGCGTCAGGTTCGGGATCAACGTTCACATGGAGTGCAAGGTTTACGCCAAAGAATTGACGACCAGGGAGGTGAATTTTTTCGTCCCGTACTTGCTCTACACCGACAAGGGGAAATCTTACTTGAGCGCCTTGCCCGTCTATTCCAAGAGCAAACAAGTGAGAGTCTCGATTTTTTTTTTCGAAAAATGTTAAGTAATGATTATACGGATGTTTGTTGATGGAGGACAAACACCTTTATGTTGATTTTTGATTATATTAATTTTTCGTTATTCCATCCTTTGTTGTAGTGGGCACCCATGAAAAAATTCTTCCTCGTCGATAGCATATCCAGCTACAAAGCAATACCAAATTTAGTCGATGACACTTTCAAACGCGACGACGAATTGTCCATCCTCCGATACGTCAAATCAATGGAAATAAGGTATAAATCAAAGGATCTGTTTTATTATTTAATACATTTCTTTTTTTTTTTTTTTTTGTTAATGAAAATGATGTTTCTTCAAGAATCAAAGTACAAAACGACCGAGACGGGGGACACATATACACGCCGGTGATCAGAATCGAATACGACGAGTTGAGAAAGCAGGAGATACAAGAGAACAAGCAAGTGAACGTTGAATATCGGGTCACTTTTGTACTGCTGAGGAAACACTCGAACAACATCATCGAGGCAAGCTACTATACCCTATCGTAAAATTAATTGTGCCGCTTAAACGTTTGGGAAGGAAAAAAAAAATCTTGCGTAAAATTTGAGCGAATGAAAAGGGATAAGGAAAAATTTGTCCTCAGATCGCCATCGGCGTACTGTCGTCTTTAGCGGTAGCCTACTCGGCCCTGAAAGCCTGGAGCTACTGCAAGCGCAACTTCAACGGTGTCCTGACGATCGGCGTGGTGGTCTGGTTCTTCGTTTACTGCCTGGGTGCCGTGTCCAACGTCCTGCTGCTCGTCTGCATAAGCGCGTGCATCTACACCTTCGTCTTCTACAAGGGCCAGACTGTCCTGCACATGCTCCTGCCAGCCCACAACGTCGAGAGGAAAATTTACATCTACACCATACTCGCGCTCAGCGGCAAGGTGATGCTGACCTACTGCACGTGTGTGTTACTCTCACTCCGCCATCAGGCGACGTCCCAACTTGTTGTTTTACAACTCAATTGCAGATAATCGAGATCCTGGCGTTGATATACCGCCAAAGCGCGATAAGCGTGTTTTTCATGGACTGGGAGCAACCACGGGCGATCCCATCGTCGACGCGCTACGACTCGCCGCACACGTCCTTGAAGAAATTGTACGGCAATCGGTTCGAGCCCGACGGCGCTTCGACCAGGACGCCACCGCCAACAGCTACGAGGAGGCGGTCCTCGGATGCCGTGGCCTCGGAGACCCCTCGAGATCCCGAGGCTCCCGCTCCACCTCCTGTTCCTTCTGTCGAGGACGTTGAGCAAAAGCACGCCGAGATTCTTGGCATCGACGACAACGACGAGGCGACGGCTGTGCCGAGCAAGGTGCACCAGCTGCCCGTGAGCATTTGGAGGACGTACTTCGTGGCCAACGAGTGGTTCAAGATACAGACCAAGAGAAGGATCAGCATCGCCCTGCAGATCACCTTCACACTGTTTATGCTCGAGGTTCGTTGGTGCAGCTGTATATATTATTTTTTTGATATATTATTATTATTATTATGTGTGTTTAGTTGTATAGTTATATGCGTGTGAGCCAAAAAAAGTTACGTGTTGCAGATAGTAGGTCTCAAGTACTGGACGCAAGCGACGCCGGAATTGCAGATAGACGTGATCGAGAGCCACAAGACGACCGAGAAGAGCTTCACCCTGAGATACGGCGTCGGGGCGTTGGTTTACGTGGTGTGCTATTGCGCCCAGTGGATCGTTTCTGTGACTTTTTACGAGAGGTACGTGAAAAATCGGCTCCAACATTTCGTCGATCTCTGCTCGGTGGCCAACATCAGCGTCTTCATATTTGCCTACGATTACTACGGATACTACATTCACGGGAGGTAGGTGTATTATAATGAATGATGTGACAATAATTGTTTTCAAAAATGCGTTTACGTCTAATTGTGTGAGCCAATCGAATCAAAGGTCGGTCCATGGATACGCCGATACGGATTTGGAAACGTTGATCGACGATTTGAAGAAGGAAGAGGGCAATCTCTGCGCCCACAGAGGCCTGATTCCCGGAACGACTAATCAAACCTTCATTGCTTCGTTGTCCTCGTCGTTTCGAGAAATATATCAAAAGCTGCTGGACCTGCAAAACTCGGTTATTGCATCGATCGTTAGAGATTAATGAGAACAGGGTGTGTTAATGTATTTTGCTGATTTTCTTTTTCTTTCCGTAGAATGAAAATAAATCGAGACGGGATGTTTTGGCCCCGCTGAACTGGGATAAATGCTTGAAAGTCCATTCCAAGATGAAAAAGTTCTTGACGGCTTTTGTCGACCACTGTTTCAAGGATCTGGATTACACCATCAAAGAGCGTTTGCTGTTGGAACAACTGTGCGACATTGAAATGAGCAACACCGACGACCAATCGACATTTTACATTGGTAATTATACGGTATTTTTGGAAGGAAGCATCTACTTGAAGCGCATTACATTTGGTTTTTTTCACAAGATAACAACAACACCTTCGATCGAGTGATATTTTACGGTAACGAGTGGACCCTTGGAACATTCGAGATCGCCGTATTCGTGTTTGCTCAAGCAGTGGCCAAAGATTACATTTTAGCTTGCATAGCTACGCTACTAGTGTCGCAACTACTCGCCGCCGTCAGTAGAATTAATGGAAAGCGAAATTTGGCGAACAAAACGTTAATAGACGAGAGGTTTTTAATGTAAAAAGATTTAATTACTTAGCCGTTGACACCTCAATGTAAAAATGTAACTGAGTACCTATTTTTTAAAAAAATTTATCATGATGTATATGCAATTTAGAACCTTTATAAATATACTTTTATGCATTTTTTATCATACAAGATAAAGCAATACGTAGTTTGTAGGTTTTTTTTACTTATATATACTTTTTTATTAGTACTGTTGAGATACTGGTGTATTAAAATTAATGAATCCAAGGAAAGAACAATCAATTCATCAATCAGGAGGTTGAAAAAAATGATTTATACAAACACTTTTAAAAAGTACTCATCAGTGTAAAAATAAATAATTGTTATCCAAAGCTTATCACTATGAGAATATAAATATTCTTAATTTTTTCTTATTCATGATGTATATGTATAGCCAAAAACCAAATTACATATTTCTAAATGTATTTTATTTAAATTGTACATTTATTTTTCAGAATGATTTTATTATCAGAGTGTACACACAGTGGGGTTTAGTATCTAAAACTTTTTAAGATGATTTATATGCCTTGTATGTCCCACCGTGCGTATATGTACACTGTAATTTTCATTAATGCGTAAATATAACTCATAAACTTTAACCAAGCAAAAAGAAAATCTTGTTTCATTTTACTAACATTACCTATACTTTTATAATTACCAGAGTATTAAAAAAAAAGTATTGATTCGATATAACTTTATTAAACTTACAACAGTACAGAATCGCTTAGGGTTCTATCTAGATAAATCACTTTCAATGCTTGTCACCGTGTCCATCGCCGTTCCCGTGATCGCCGTGATTACTATGGCCGTGATAATCAATGCCCAAAAAGCTTTCGACAGCAATGGTACCAATGACCAGAGGCACCCAGATTTTCCAGCCGTAAGTGAATATTCTTAGCAACACCCAGTCGGGATGTTTTTTGCCTTTCCACTGGTCTGTGCGCCAGACGTGATTCCTCAGCCATGGGTCCTTCAAACCTTTTTCTCCCAACTTTTTTTGTATGTCCATTAAAAATTCTGAGCTTTCAACTTTGAACTTTGATGCATCCGGAACTTCTGGTATGTGTGGTTTATGGTGGCCTCCCATTTTCTACAAACAAACGCATTCAGGTAATTATGTTTTATTTAACTTTCATAGTCTACTAATGATTCCAATGCTGCGTAGGGTCAAGTCTTCAAAACATAAACATCGGGTTTGACGGAAATGTAAATGGTATTAGCACAAAAATCAGACGAACAAGATCCTTCGCTCACAATAAGTACCCATATACAACCAGACAATTTATATACTTACGTCTTGAAAAATTCACAAGTAAACTATCAAAAACAACAATGAAACAAACGTCAAACAAAAAGGTTATGATCGCCCACAATGTTTATCCTATTTTGATAACACAAGCGCGTAGTGTTAACGAAAACGAAAATACGCCAATTGCGAAAAACCGAAAACCCCTTTAGTAAACACTCACCCTTGGTTTAATCAACCCTCGGAGGCCCGAATAAAAACAATTCAACTTATGTAATTCGAGAGGGGGCGATGTGCAGCGGAAAAACAGAGCAATGAAAACAATAGCAGACAGCTCCCGTGAAAACTGGCCTTTAAAAATATATATATATGTATACATCACGCAACGTCAGCCGGTCCCTCTCTCTCTATTTTTCTGCAGTCTGCAACTCCAAAAAAACAGCATCACACGTATATATATATATATATATATATATAATATATAAGTGACCTTCCCTGGTGTATATATAATCGATCTGAATATTATTTTATTTTGGTTAATTTCGTCCTCGCGAGATAAAAAAAATAGTGCAGCAGCGTGTATCCACGTTTGTTACTGAAAGAAGTGAAAAAAAAAAAGAACCGCCAGGATGTGGGTCGAGGAGTGCGACGGCTTCGCGGAGCTCTGGCGTAGTCTGCCCTACTATCTGCTGATCGTCCTACCGCTCTTCATCATCATCGCCCCGGCCAACCCTGTCGCTGCGTCCCATGAGTTTCAGGCCTACCGTATGAACCAGTACGACTTGCACGGCGTGCCCCATGGTCTGTACACCTGCACAGCCTGTGATTTCTTGCCTTGTAGAATAATTTATTTATCAATCGACTTTTTGACTGTTTTTTAAATATTGTATGATTTTTCTTTCAAAACTGAGACATTCTTATTTTGATGATCTTTGCAAATAGTGTACGACCTACTTCCATTGTTACACATGAGAGTTATAAAGTACGCTTCATTTAATTGCATCGCGAATTGATGGTACCTACTTGCTCATTGTAGTTTTTATGAAATAGAATCTTTGATAGGAACATATAAGGTTCAATCATTATGTGCATTGAAAGTTCACGCTTGTCTTCATAAAAAAATCAAGTGTCTTTTAACTTGAATTCATTCATCATTGGATGAAAAACATAAGCAACATATTTTTAATTTCAAGTTATAAGTACAAAAATGTGCTTCAGAAAGCTATTAGAGTATTTTTGATGAAGCGCAAGTAGAAGTTTGCTTTACATTGATTACTTTTTGTTCATTTGCACAACAGGTTGTCGCAGTGCTCCAATTTCGCTAGAAGCGAGGTCACTAACAGGCTGGGGTACCTCTAGGCACTGTATTGTAGCCAGAGCCCTAGATCTTACTGCAGATACTTTTCATTCCATCAGACAAAAGGCTGGTGCATTGATCGTTGTTCTTCCGGAAAATTCAAACAACTTGAGCGATGAAGCAAAAAAGGCACGCTAAAAGTCATAATTACCCACTTTTTTCTTCAAATTGGATGAAAAAAAAAATTACGTTGGGCTTTATTTTTTTTTAATGCAGCATATCATGTTCCTGGAAGAATCTATGCTTTATGGGCCTGAAACACCCATCCCTGTGTATTTTGTCAAGTGGAATCCAGAGATCCAAGTTATTCTCGAGGATGTCGAGCATGGATTCATCACAGATGATAAAGCTGGATCTGCAGCAGAGGCTTTGTTCACCTCTATATCAGCCAGTGGCTACCAAGTGGTCGTTTCAACTAGTCAAGCAGTTCCAAAGACTGACGTGAAAGTTGCCACTTTGCATGGAAAACTAACTGGTACTGGAGTCGAAGACAAACTGCCAACCATCGCTATTGTTGCTCATTACGATAGTAACGGTGTAGCACCGGTAATTCAATGTTTTCTATAATTTTTCGTGTTATGTGAATTCCCTACTGACAAAAAAAAACAAACATTGATTTCAGGAATTATCTTTTGGTGCTGAAAGCAACGCGTCTGGGTTATCAATGCTGCTTGAACTTGCAAGACTCTTTTCGGCGTTGTATTCCTCGGGAAGGTCGCGGCCGCGCTACAACTTAGTTTTTATCGCTACCGGAGCTGGTAAGCTCAATTTTTTGGGAAGCAAGAAATTTTTGGAGGACCAGTTTGACGGAGTTGAAGGGTCTGATATACAGGTAAATACTTATGTTCACCCTGGTAAGATTAGTCCCCTAAAGATTGTTTATATTGTTTGTCTCGTTGAAGGGTACCTCGTACATTATATGCCTTGACTCCGTTGCTTCGAGCGATAATCTCTACGTGCACGTTTCCAAACCACCGAAAGAGGGCTCTGTTGGCAGTCTCATTTACAAAGAACTAAGTACCGTCTCGGACAGCCTTGGGTATGGCACCGTCGAGGGCAAGCACAAAAAGATTAATCTTGCCGAGGAAAACCTTGCTTGGGAGCACGAGCGTTATAGTATCAGGCGACTGCCAGCCGCCACTCTGTCTACCCTCAAGAGCTTCGACGAGCCGTTTAGAACTACAATTTTGGATGAAATGCATGATGAACAGATCAATAGACTGCATAGACATACAACCGTTGTTGCAGAGGCCCTTGCCAGGCACATGTACAATGTTAGCTACAGCCAGATTTTCTCTGAACCTCTGGTAATATTATACTCCTTAAAATATGTGGATCATTGGTTGCCATTGCCTACTGCGAATAAAAAATTGTTGTCTGTTTTAGAGTGTTTCTAAAGATTCGTTAAAGATGTGGATGGATTATTTGGCGTCACAACCAAGAGCCGCTGCGTTGCTGGCCGATAAGCAAAATCCATTAGTCAATACTATCAAAGAAGCAATGCAGAAGTATCTTGGCGACGTGAAAGTAACGTATCACAGCCCTGACAAGAGAGATCCAGAATTTGTTTTTTATGATGTTTCTAAAGCAACGTTAAACGTATACAGGTACTTACAGCAGGAATTTTTTTTTATTTATTTATTTTTTTTTTAACGAAAAAAAAAGATTTGGTTGAAAATGAATTTTGTTTCGTCTGTTTCAGCGTAAAGCCAGCAGTATTTGATCTCTTCTTAACCATAGCAATTGCTGCTTACTTAGGAACCGTGTACTTAATAGTTCACAACTTCTCCCACGTTTACGATTTTGCGCAAAGGATATCGTGCAAAAAAATTGCATAATTCTTTACCAAACGAAGCAATTTGTTGCTGTGGACGAAAGAATACGTGAAAAATCTACCTTTGAATAGCTCAAATTCTTCAAGTTTAGTTTACTTTCATTTAGCGTCTACCTACCAGCTGCTCCAAACGTATATAATTGTGTTAAAACTTGTGTTCATAAGTGTGTGTAGACTTTTATTTCAATTTCGGGATGAGACGGTTGACTCTGTGATTCAGATCTCATCGATCTTAAATGTTTTTTTTTTTTTTTTGTTTTTTGCTATTGTAGTAAAATATACTTTATGAAATCGTCAAAGAAACGCATATAATGTGTATAAATGATATTGTACATGAAGATGACCCTTGTCCAAAAGCAGTTTATTATCAATCATGTAAGATCGTTAAAACATGTTTTTTATCAGAACAAAATAAGAATAGTTGTAAGTTATTTTAAAATGTAAAGTGTAATGAAAAGCAATTAAAATTTCATTCTTTCGGATGAACTGAAATGTTAAAAAACGCTTACAAGTGCAACATAAATAATAGTAAACTTTTGCGTTGTAGTAACTATCAATACTGATTATACAAACAAAAATTATCAATTTTTTTCTTGAACACGACGTAGCATTGTCAAGTTTATGGAATAATAATACTAGTTTGTGATTTTTGTAAAGTAAAGTAAAAATGATATCCTAGAGGTGAGATGGGATTTATGTGACCCTTTGGGATCATAACAGAATTATTTGAAAAAAATTACCCTCTTTGGAAACGTTCTCTTTCACAGGTGTTTACAAGCTCGTTATCATCGTATTTAATGTGAACAAGGGTTTTACTTTTCAAAAGCCAAATTTATTTCTTGTATTTATTACGTTCTTTAGTTATGTTAATTAAAAGTGCCGGTGATGCAGGAAATTCACATAATATCAATTAAATACTCTTAGACATAATAAACTGATCAATTATTTTAGGAAACAATCAAAAAAACTTGATGTAACAGACACATGCTGTGTCTCAAAATAAAAATTTACATGCTAATTTTCATGATAACAAGACAATTTTATGTACTCAATATGCTTAATATATCATGGATGGCCAATGACGAGACCAAAAAGACTTTGAACTAACATAGCAATATTTACAATATTTTCTATGTAATCACTTTGTATAACAGTTTTCCGCACTTGGATACGTAAGAAATTGTATTGAAAAAAAAAAATAAATAAATTTGCGTCAAGTGAATGATGATATACCAATAATAAATATATAAATATCATTAATGGTAAGATTGACGAAGTAGCTGTAAATGACCGATAATTTGTTAAGGCCTTTTTTCTCAACAGAACAACAAGATTGAGAAGCCGAAAAACGTGAAAGTGATCAATCCAAAATGTTGTGTTATACAATTAAGTAAAATAAACACGATTATTGTAAACAATATCAACGACTGTTTTTTTATTTTTTTTCTTTATCACTTCCATCAGCCTTCCGTGAATTTTTAATTTTATTTTCATCAAAACAATTTTCCATCAGAGAATAACGAAAGCGCGTCATCGGCTATAAAAGCAGGAAAAAAAATCAACGCACGGAACTATTAATATGTACGGCATCGATCGCGTCGCGCTACGTGTGCGTATGAAACCCGAGAAAGCTTTCACTATGAGTATAGTATAATATATACGCCTAGGCCAACAGCAGGTTTGACCGGTTTAAAAAACTCGCCTATAATCATCGCATTCCAATGACCGTCGCGCGAGCTGCCGATGCCATATCATAACAATGCCAGCGTCGTCAGTCGGCTCGAACAGGTGATAGGTATCGAGAACTTCTTCAAAATGATGAGACGAACTTTGTTCAAACACACGCGATCGTTTACATGTTTTAATGTTTCGATCGAAGCTAAACGGTACATGTGCTGGCGAGGGATGACTTCGCTGGCGGAGGTCCTGCAACCGGAGTTGGATTCCATCAGGGAAGCTGGCACCTGGAAATCGGAGAGGATTATATCTTCGGCCCAAAGCACCATGATTTCGTTGAACGATGGGAGAAAAGTGCTCAATTTTTGCGCCAACAATTATTTGGGACTGTCGGTGAGTTGGATCATAATAATGCTGTATAACCGGCCTCATTGAAACTCACAATTTTAGTAATTGAAATTTCAATCGACTATTGTTCATGCGAGTATTTTTTTTTTTTTTCCTTCAGGACAACAAACAAGTCATCGAAGCGGCGAAAGAAGCACTCGATAAGTACGGCGCAGGTCTGAGCTCGGTTCGTTTTATTTGCGGCACCCAAAACATTCACCGCGAGTTGGAGAAAAAATTGGCCGTCTTTCACGATCGAGAGGACGCGATTCTCTACGCTTCCTGCTTCGATGCGAACGCTGGGATTTTCGAAACGCTACTCACGCCCGAGGACGCGATACTCAGCGATGAGCTCAATCATGCATCGATTATCGACGGCATCAGGCTTTGCAAGGCTAAAAAATTTAGGTGACGTACCGAGAGTTTTTCCGTTCTGATCGTGAAATTCTGAAATATAAATTTTCTCACAAATTTTGTTTTTTGTTTTTTTTTAGATACAAACACAGAGACATGGCAGATTTGGAAGCGAAGCTGAGGGAGAGCTCGGGGGCGCGGTTACGATTGATCGCCACTGATGGTGTGTTCTCCATGGATGGGACGGTCGCACCATTGCCCAACATCATCTATCTGGCAAAGAAGTATGATGCCCTGACGTTCGTCGATGACTGCCATGCCACTGGATTTTTCGGCAAGACTGGAAGGTACATTTTTTATTAGGATTGTTTCAACATTACTATTGGGATTTTAAGTTGTATCATGATAAAATTTGTAATTTACATTTGTTTCAGGGGCACGGAAGAATATTTCGACTTGTTGGGTAACATTGATATGATAAACTCTACCTTGGGCAAGGCTCTTGGTGGTGCATCCGGTGGATACACGGTGAGCAAAAAGCCACTGATTGATCTATTGAGGCAAAGAAGTCGACCGTACCTGTTCTCCAATTCGTTGCCACCGCCTGTAGTTGCAACTGGCATTAGGGTAATTCAGAATAATCAAATCACTCGTATTACCTGTTCACGCTCAAAAAATATAAAATTTAATAAAACTTCATTGACTATTTAAGGTGCTCGATCTTATAAGCGAGAGCTCTAGTTTTCTTAAGAACTTACAACACAACACCCGACTCTTTAGGGATAAAATGACAGACGCTGGGTTTAAAATCAGTGGGGACAATCATCCCATTAGCCCAGTAATGCTCGGAGATGCCAAGTTAGCCAGCACTTTTGCTGACAAAATGCTAGGTATATATTTTCTGTCAGGTAAAAGAATATACCGGGATTTTGGATTTTCTTTTTTTTTTTCGTGTTGCAGAAAAGGGAATATACGTCATTGGATTCAGTTATCCTGTTGTTCCTAAGGATAAAGCAAGAATAAGAGTTCAGATAAGTGCAGCTCACACGACAGAAGAAATCGACAGAGCTGTTGACGCGTTCGTTGAAATTGGAAAGGGCCTTGGAGTCATTTGTTGAAAAAAAAACTATTTATATACTCTACGCCATTTTTTTACAAATAACTTTTGATTTTTTATACAATTATCTGTAAGATATTCATCTAAGGTATACATTTTACACTTACTTGTTGAAAAATGTCATGAAATAAAAGTATTTCAGCTGTTACCATGTACTTTTTAACAGATTTACTTCCTTTGACTTCACACAAATTTCTTGAAATACGAAAATTTGCTTTCCTTGCACCAGAATTACCAGGACTCACGTCTTACTCGACTCAGTTGCAAAAGAGAGAGACGATACACTTATCATATTGTTTTCTTCGTCTTATCACAAGACTTATCACAAGCTTGTACGACGTGACATTGACAGTTTTCGGGTAAAAGATAGATTGTATACTTGCCGCAAATAGCATAGACAATGTCAACTTTTTATCTTATATCTATAAAATTAGTTGCGGCTGGTTTATAATTGATTACAATTTACATGGCTCTACTAAGTATATAGTAATAATAATTATTTGGATCAGCGCCATCTAGCGCAGCGGATTTCTGAACTAAAAAGTGGCCCTAAAATTCTGAAGGAGAGGTTGAGGCAGTTTAGGCTTTAGAGCCATTTAGTCAAGTATAAACCAGCCGCAACTAATCTTACGTAAATAAAATAAAAATTAAATATTGTCTGTGCTATTTGCGGCAAGTTTGCAATTTATCTTTTATCCAAAAGTATAAATATATAGGAAGTCAATATTTGGGTAGAAGATAATTTGTAAACTTGCCGCAAGTAGCACAAAAAATAGTAACTTATTATTATCTATCTATAAAATTTGTTGCGGCTGGTTTATAACTATCAAGGTGACTTTACTGTAAATAGCAATAATTATTTGGATCAGCGCCATCTAGCGGTCTTTATTTTTTGGCCAAAAGTGGCTCCTAAAATTCTGAATCAGAGCAATCAGGATTAGAGCCATTTAGTCAATTAGTAACCAGCCGCAACTCATGACGAAGCTATAAAATAAAAAAATAACGATACATGTGTTTTTGGCGGCAAATTAACAATCTATCTTATGCTCAAAAATTTATCTTCAAAGGTGTAAATACATAGGAGATCAATTTTTTGGTAGAAAATAGATTGTTAACTTGCCGCCAAAAACACATGTATTGTTGTTTTTCTATTTTATAGCTTTATCATAAGTTGCGGCTGGTTTATAACTGACTAAATAGCTCTACGCGCTAAAGCTCTGGCTCAAAAGTTTAGGGCCACTTTTTGGTTCAGAAATCCGCAACGCTAGATGGCGCTGATCCAAATAATTATTACAACTTACAGTAGAGTTATTTAATCAATTATAAACCAGCCGCAACTAATTTTACAGGTATACAATAAAGAGTTAACATTTTTTATGCTACTTGCGACAAGTTTACAATTGACCTTCTATCCGAAATCGACCTCCAAAAGTATAAATATTCTACTTATCTTAATAGGCTTATAAAATCGATAATATTTACAAAGTTTTAATACTCTAGACCTTTTACCATTAACTCATGTAAGAACAAATTAATCAGTCGAAAAGAGACAACTGAAGAAAAAAGGTCTTATAAAGAAGCAGTCACACGAAGAGTCTCCTAGAAATGGAGCATCGGATCTCACGAAATAAAAAATATATTTATTACAGAAAAGTAAGTTTAAGTAATATAAATAAACAAAGATCCCAATCTTCTCTGATTAAGTGAGATCCGATGCTCCATTCCTATAGGAGACTCTTTATGTGACTGTGCTTCTCTTTTAGGCCTTTTTTCTTTAGTCGTTTCTTTTAGACTGAATAATTCACGTATATATTGGATCGTGATTCAAGATTTTCGTAACACAAATTTTGCTATGTACATATCATATAAGTTAACTGTTTATTGGAAATCTAAAGTTAAAGGGCTGTTCTTCCATGACTGGGAAGTTAACATGGTCTGTGCTATTTGCGGCAAGTATATTACAATGTATCTTTCACCCGAAAATCGACCTGCAAAAGTGTAGATATTCTACTTATATGGTTCTGGGTCTGGGTGTATTCCGCAAATGCTGCCAGTAGTTAAGTTACGTAGGTCGTGGGTCGTGGTAACGCCGCATGGTCGGGCGGCGCTAGCGTCAACCTGTACTAACTGTCGGTGATATGTCCACGTTATCGAAAGAAAAGATGCCTTATAGTTGTCTTATAAAAGACGTCCATGTGATAACTTTCAAAGACAACTTAGAGTTATATTTTTTGACCGATATCATTTTTAAGTGTTGTCAAAATGTTATCGAAAAAACAATTTTTGAGTTACCATATTTAATGCAGAAAATGATAACATTACGATAACTTACGATAAGTAAAAATGATATCAATATTTTTATCTTATTCAGACATCAATATGATAAAGCCGGTGCGATTGGTTGCGGTATATATATATAAGGGGCGCACGGTTCTCATATGTGGATTATAACCTCCTTCTTTCTTGCATCAGCTGTCAAGCAGGCCACATCGGATCCCGTTCGCTTTTTGTCCAGCTCTCTTCGTCAGAGGCATCATCAAAAGGTTGTGTTATTTGTTTCAATAAAATCTATACACTTAATCTTTTATTAATTTTTGTGCTCTCTGGCTCTTCTTCTTTCAACTCAAAAGTGGAATTAGTAAATTTTGATAAAGACCTTCTATTAAATCAAAATTTGTCATCTCAATTTGTAAGTATTTGGTTTGTTTACAAATTTTCTAGTTCTAGTTTAAGCATTTATAACTAAAAAACATTGAATATTTTTCTTTAGGAAAAAAAAATTTTAAGCCTGGGAGGAATAAGTTTATCTAATACTATAAATAAGATTATACCTACCATTATAACATAAACTGTGTCGTCAACTAACTTTTGGTACAGTTTTCATGGAACTCTTGCTGTAAAGGATCTCCATTTTTCATCGATAATCATAAGTATGTATTTTGATTCTGAAAACTTATGTATTTTTTAAAATTTATTAATCGTTAACATTTTTATAGGTGCTACACGAAAAAAAATTGCATCTACTGTAACAGATGTACAAGAACGCATTAAAGATTGGTTGCGTAGACCATCTGACAGGCAGAAAAAAAAGAGAGGAGTCAATCAACAGCCTATATTGTGATTAATTTTCTAATTGTGCTTAAACCAGTGATTCTTAAGTATGACATAAGTATAAAGTATTTTGTTATCGTAAAAAAACAATTGTAAAAAATACACTTTTAAAAATATCTATTATAATGAAGGCATCGTGCAATTCAAAGAACTATAGATACCTTTGAATTGAATGAATTGATTGATTAATTTATAATTTAAAGGCCATTATTCAAATGAATTATAAATTTGTTCAATTTAAAGGTATCTGTGGTTCTTTGAGTTGCGTAAATGCTACTATTATATTATTTAATACTATTTAAACGATACCCTCAAGATATCATTTAATTTACACAGCAGATATCTGTAAGATATCATTGAATTTAGCACCACAGATATCTAAAAGACATCCTTAATTCTTGCTCAAAAGACATCCATAAGAGATCAAAAACATTTACGGTATGACAACAGCAGACGTCTAAACGTTATCAATTAGTTGTCATTAGCTGATGTTTGTTTGCTGACAACTGATAACAATACGATGTCTTATCGACAATGCTTTGGCGTCAATTTGACATCTTGCCGATGTAGTTTTGATAACTTCGGTAGATATCAGCTGACAGTTCAATGATGTCGTGTAGATGTCTTATTGTCACCTTAATGTTTTGTGGGTGGGTTCCGCATGTCAACAAACTCCGAAATATCAGATGGCATGGGAGCGAAAACAGTAAAAAATATCGAAGTTTGTTGACATGCAGTTAGTACAGGTTGACGCTAGCGCCGCCCGACCATGCGGCGTTACCACGACCTACGTAACTTAACTGCTGGCAGCATTTGCGGAATACACTATTCGCTCCGAGCCGATACAGAGGTTGCGCCCCCTCTAGCCAAAATCAGGCAACATTTCTTGCATGTAAACAAACGGTTTATAACATATATACATGCGTATAGCTGCTTGTGATTGGCTGTTGGCAAGCTAGAGAGAGAACGACGATCCTCTCCTGCTGTCTTATTCAGCCAATCACAAGCAGCTGTACGTATGTATATATGTTCTAAATCGTTTGTTTACATGCAAGAAATTTTGCCTTATTTTGGCTAGAGGGGGCGCAACTTCTGCATCGGCTCGGAGCGAATAGAACTTCTCTGGTTCGTACACATAAGTAGACGGCGGCGTGATCAGAGTTAAAAGCTCGCACGTCGCCTTGTGTTTTGTCTTTTGGTTCAAGCCTCTNAAATTGGTAAATGAATTATTATATATATATTTATTTCAAATCTCTTTCCCACATCCCACGTAACGATGTGTAACGTAACAATTATAAGAAGCTACGTATTTAAGTAAATGAAATAGAAATCGTTTGCTTTGCAACTTGTTGTGTGCGCGCTTTCGTGCACTCGTGTTTTTGAGCACTCAATCTCAATGCACTCATATCTCATAACTCTCATAAGTACTTGTTCTTGTTCTTGGGCGTGCTTATGCGTTTTTATGCAGATGTCGTGACCGGGCTTCCGTAACCACCGACACACCGACACTGACTTTTTATCGAAAATTTGAGCGCGCGAAAACAACTCGACCGCCGTGCCGCCGTCTCTACTACGCCGCATAAACGCACCTCTTCGTTCTTCCGCTTGTCCCTCGTATCTTTCGTGTTGTTGCGATTCCACAACTTCGACAAGCATCATCGTAGTTTTTATCGAGAACAAAGAGAACTTGAAGAATCAAGGGCCTGGTGCCATACAAGTTACAAGCGATCGTCGTGGGAACTCCGGAATCCTGGAAATATGACAGACGTGGATCTACCGTTCAGAGTCGAGTACTCGAAAAGTAACAGAGCGAGCTGCAAAGTCTGCAAAAATCCCATAGCCAAGGATGTCATCCGAATCGCCTGCGTCGTTCAGGTGAGTTACTTTTTTTTCTTTACAACGTATTGTCTTGGCTCGTTCTTGGCGCACCACGTACTTTTTCTTCGAGGTACTGAAGTACTCTCCTCCTCTGCGCCGGCTTCCTAACCTTCAAACGCATTTGCATCGTAGATGTAATTACACTTTATAGTAAAGTTCATATTTATGATTTATTGAAAAAACTAAGTGTAGAGAAGTAATGGCTAAACGATTTTTGGCATGTCATGAAGTGGCATGCATCGTGATGAAGTCAGTCTCTCTCTTTTAAGTAGCATGCCGTTTGTAAAAAGTACATTATAGTTAGGTATATACATCATTCCCAGAGGGGATTTTGATTAAGGGGGCTCCTACGACTATTGCTGAGGTCAAAGACAAACAAAAAATAAAGTTTAGTTTTTCAATAAACAAATGTGTCTGAAAATCATTATGATATTTTTAATAACGTATGAAGTGGGAAAAATAATATTTATGTGTGTAGTTTAACTTTGTACGAAAAGTTTTCCTCAAGAGGATGGAGGAAAGGCAATCTCAACTTTTTGAAAACTCGCGCGATTAGGTGAACAAGTACGTCTGCTACCCACGTGACCTCCTGACCTCCCGGACACTATTTATTTATTTCCATCACAAATATCTCGCTAAAATGGTCCTTTATCCACAATTTTTAATACAGCATATTACAGAGGAAGACTTCATCTACAAAACGTATATATTCAGTCTGCTGGGACATTTAATTTAGGTTTATTATAAACGAAAACAAATTGTTTTTCACGCTGCACCATAGGAACACGTGCTAATAGTTACAACTTTGAGCTCGGATTTCTCAAAATTTTGACCCATTCGAAATATAATTTAGACCACCATTAAATTCAGTAGACTTTTATTTACAAGAAATAATATTTCTCTGTTTGGGGACTTTCGTGAAGGAGCCCCCTTAATTCATTCTGAACATACTTTCTCAAAAGAGTTTCAGGCGTAATTGATGAATTCAGAGTATGACAATTATACTTACGCTTCATACTACATGCGTCTTATGTTTAATTAATTTTGTTACGATTGCAAATAATAAAAAAGGCTAACATTGATGAAAAGTATCAAAGGTATCAACATGTATGGATATATACGCGTATTTCAGGTAGTGAGTTACCGCTCGTAAAATTTGGAAAATTCAGGAGATAATAAAAGACAATTAGGCAGCTCATTGATGACGTATTTTTCTGCTTTTCAGTTTTCGAATACTTTTATGTGTGTTACTTAAAGGAGAGCCCACGGTTTTGGCCCTTTACTTGCAAAACCTGCACAACTGAGTTGAAAATCTGAATTTTGATGTAACTGCCTGATTGACCACACCTATACATGTCCCTTATTTACCAAAATAATATTTTAATGACATTTTTTTTTAAATAGAAAGCGTGGAGTGCGTGTTTGTTTTCTTTTGTCGGTACTTAATTGGTGGAGCGTGCGTATTAATGGTACCTGACATACATATAATATTCCCGTTGATGTTGCCGCTTGGGCGTTGCGATAAGATAGCTTGTTTTTATATTTGCTTGTTTCAGGAGCCTAATTGATAATCTTTACCTTCTAGCTTAGCGCTACATAAAACTACATACATTTTGTAGGGTATATTTTCTCGAGTTGAATTAACAGTCGCTCGAAAATGCTAACAAGGTTCCTGGAGCCACAAGATATTCATAATAAAATTTAACTTTTGTGTACGATAAACAAAAAAATGGTCGTAAATTACAAATTATGCTCTTGTACTGACTATATCCCTTTCAGTAAGTAAAATTCAAGTGCTGTTGCCAATAATAGTAAGCCCTTGAACTATGTTGATAGTGTTGTCCCCAGCACTATTTATCACATAACTAACACCACTCCTTTCATTTAACATAGCACTTTGCAGTTTATTTGATATTTTTTCTCTACACCTTGTCTATTTATCAATGTATTTTTATGTAGAGCCCCTTTCATGATGGCAAAATGGAGAGATGGCATCACGAAAAATGCTTTTTTCAAAAGCAAAGACCCAAAACAGAAGGTGACATCGCTCACTTTGATGGAATCCGCTGGGAAGATCAGGAACGTCTAAGAAAACAAATTGGTAAATGAATTATTAGAACCCTAGATCTGTTTTTTCAACCATTGAAAGTTTTCTTTTTCATCTTACTATATTTCGTACAACATTGTACTAATAATAATGTTGTTTGATGCGTACATACATTTGCATTAATTCATCCTATCACTTACCAACAAATACACCTTAACTGGAAAATTTCAATCTCAACCCGACTAGTATGGCTTAGTATTAGAAAAAACTCAAAAAATTCGTATTATATATTGGTTGTACGGAAAAAATGGCATAGGTATTAAATTTAAAAAATTTAAAGCTGAGGCGTCGAATGGTGGTACAGCAGCACCAGCCGCCTCGAGTAGCGGCAAGGGTCGTAAGCGCGGCAAAGCAGCAGCGGCCGGTGGAGCAAACAAAGACTTCAGAGTTGAGTACGCCAAGTCAAGCCGGTCGACATGCTGCGGCTGTCAGGAAAAGATCATCAAGGAAGAGGTGCGAATCTCCAAAAAGGACTTCGAGAGCGAAGATGCCCGCAAGTATGGTGGCTTAGACCGCTGGTATCACGTCGAGTGTTTTGCCAAGTTAAGATCGGAATTGGGCTTCTTTGACACCGGTGCCAACATCCTTGGTGCCGATGCACTGACCGACGAAGATAAAAAGACGCTCCTCAACGCGCTACCCAAAATCAAGGAAGAAGACGGGCCTACCTCTGCTAAGAAGATCAAAGATGAGCCAATAGACGAGAAGGAAGAGAAAGCTTTGCAAAAACAGAACAAGGAGTTCTTCAAGCTCAGGGACCAGCTGGATGGTCTCACTAAATCGATTCATACTCAATTGCTTGAATATAATGGTCAGCTTGTGCCTGTTGGTACAATGGAGGTATGATTGATAATACACATGAGCACGCATTCCTTCAAGCAGTGCTTACAAATTTTCTATAGTAAAGCAAAAAAAATTTAATACGATCTAAACAAACATTTCTGTGATTCTTTCAATTTTAACAGGTCAAAGATGCCTTGACTGATGCTATGATGTTTGGTGCTTTAGAGCCTTGCTCAAAGTGTGGTGGAAGTTTCATGTATCAATCTAATGTTGGCTACAAGTGTACTGGAAGTGTTAACGAATGGGTTTTGTGCGAGAATGTCACTCACAATCCTAAGCGAAAGAAATTTGTTGTGCCAGACAACTTGAAAGAAGAAAATGCCTTCCTGTAAATATTTATTCATTTAGCTGTCTCTTATTATTATCATCGTTATGCACTATTTTTCATGCTTCTACATCTTTCCAGAGCTAAGTACAAGGGCAAGGTCAAACAGCGATTATTTAAAAAAGTAGCACCCTCAGTGTCTTTGGCTGTCAAAAAAGAAGATGAGACAGATGGTCCAAAGATTCAAGGCAAACCCAAACCCTTGAAGCATCTTGATTTTGTCATTACTCCTAAAACAAAGTTAAGTAAGGACCATTTGAAGAAAGAAATTTTAATGCTTGGTGGCAACGTAAAGACCAAAGTGACGAGGGAAACAGCAGCCGTGATTTCCACTCCGGAACAAGTTGAGAAAATGCCCGTGGTTATACAAGATGCTCAGGATTTCGATATTCACGTCGTATCTGAAGACTTTGTTGAAGAAGCTAAGGAATTCCATGATACGCCGTTCACTCTTATAAAAAAAAAATCTATTGCTCCCTGGGGTGGTGATGCACAGGCGCGCGTCTCAAAGTCTGTGGCTATGGTATGTTATTTTTCTAAGAAAATATTTTTGTAATTGAAATTTTAACTTCGTGACTCGTGATGATTAATCGCTTCAATTTAGAAATCAGCCTCGGTGGGTAAAAGTAAATACGTAAAATCTAGCGGCACCGTCAAGTTGACAGTCAAAGGTGGCGGAGCCGTTGATCCCGACAGCGGACTGTCCGACGTTGCTCACGTGTATCAGAAAGGCAATGAGAAATTCACTACTGTGTTGGGAATAACGGATATTCAGACGAAGAAAAATAGTTTTTATAAACTGCAAATTCTTAAACATGACAGTAGAAAAGAGTATTGGCTGTTCCGCAGTTGGGGACGCATTGGTCAGTTTTTGATTCAACGCGTTTTGTGAACGCACATTTTTTTTAACGCAATTAAAATAATTTTACATTTAACAGGTACAACCATTGGAGGAAACAAGGTGGACAAATTATCTTTAGAAGAATGTATTCAACAATTCGAAGATCTGTATCAAGAGAAATCCGGTAACAGTTGGTTATTACGTGATAAGTTTGTCAAAGTTCCTGGTAAATTGTATCCTATCGATATTGATGATGGCACGACCGAAGACACTTTAGACTTGCTTGAGTCCAACGTAGAGAGTAAGCTAAAGAAGCCAGTACAAGATTTGATAAGACTGATTTTCGATGTGAATACTATGAAGAAAGCCATGCTCGAGTATGAGGTGAGTAAACAAAGATTTGATGCTCTTTGCTACAGCAATTTGTCGTGATTATTCGAGAAATTGTTCCCTAATTTTTCTAATTTCACTGTTCTGCTCTCACTTATCTTGAATTTCGATTATCTTTGCAGATCGACATGGATAAGATGCCCTTGGGCAAGATTTCAAAAAATCAAATTCAGCAAGCTTACACAGTTCTTACAGACCTGCTGAATCTTGTTAAGAGTGGAAGCACCGAAAGAGCGAAATTTATCGAGGGTTCGAATAAATTTTACACCTTCATCCCCCACAACTTTGGCGTCAATGAACCTACGTAATTATCTTCATTAACGATTGTCGATTGTTGAGTCGTTCCTCATTTGTTAAAATCCTAATTATTTCTTTCAGAATCATCGAAACTGAAAAAGAAATTCAAACCAAAAGCGAAATGCTCGAGTCCCTTCTCGAAATGGAAATCGCATATAATCTCTTGCACACAAAGACAGATTCCGAAAAGAATGCACTGGATGCTCATTACGAGTTATTGAAGACGGATATCGATGTCCTAGACAAGGAGAGCGAGGAATTCAAACTGATCCAAAAGTACGTGACGAATACCCATGCCCAGACGCACACACAATACGATCTTATCATCGAGGAGGTGTTTGTGGTCAAGAGAGAGGGAGAAGAACGCAGATACAAGCCATTCAAGAAGTTGCACAACAGAAAGCTACTGTGGCACGGTTCCAGGGTCACAAATTATGCTGGTATACTGTCCCAAGGTCTCAGAATTGCGCCACCCGAGGCCCCATGCACCGGTTACATGTTTGGAAAAGGTAATTTACCATTTTTTGTAATTCTACCGATTTATCATTGATATGCGGCTATTTTATTGAATAGGCTCATTTCAACACGTTAATAAATATGTAATCCTTTGTAACAGGTATCTACTTTGCGGATATGGTATCAAAATCCGCCAATTATTGTTGCACAAACACACAGAGCCCGACAGGTCTACTTTTACTTTGCGACGTCGCATTGGGTAACATGTACGAGTGTTATCATGCTGACTATGTCACTAAGCTACCACACGGAACTCATTCGACCTGGGGTCGTGGACAGACACAACCCGACCCAACTCAATCCGTCAAACTGAAGAAAGGCGTGGAAGTGCCTTGTGGACCTGGAATACCTGCGGATCTTAAGCAGTCTTCATCACTATTGTACAACGAATTCATCGTTTATGATGTGGCTCAGGTTAAAGTTGACTATCTTGTGAAAATGAATTTCAAGTATAAGTACTAAAAAGCTGTTGCTGGTTTACGCTTTTTTTATAACTCATGTACTGTGCGTGTGTGTCAGATAATGTTATTTATTCTATTATTTTTTTTACAAAAGCGTTATGAAAATCAGTCTGTCACATTTCAATAAATAATATTTGTGCTTGTACTGTGTAGATACTAGTTGATTTTAATGACTGTTTTCCGCGTTTTTCATTGAAACTTTTCATAGCATTTGCCTTAAAATCATATGATGAAAATTAAAATTGGTCAACTTGGTACAAATAGTGAGCATAGTATTGAATTATTTTTGTCCTCGTAGATTTACTACAATCGTACGATAGTTTGGTTACTGACATAACAGTTGGAAAAAAAATAGTAAAGGTGCAGTTAAAGTTGAAGAAATTCATAATTAAATGATTAAATTACAACTTAAAGAAATAAATAATCACTTGAAGATGATTCAACAGTCTTATTGATACATATACATTCCAAGTATTGTTAGCTGAATCATTCTATTAGGATATATTACCGTTATTGATCAATAAAAAATCCTTTTATATTACAATACGTAAATTAAAAATTTGGTAAGTACTTGTGAAAGAAATATAATGATTTTCAATTGTAGAAATACCAAGTTGAATATATATAGACCAGTATCATTACCGTTACCATTCTTATTATCATTTAAAAATTCATCAATAATGTATTCCCATAATTTATGTAATATTTAAATTATTACTTGATCATAAGTATTACAATGAATCTTGTCCTCAAGTGTTAAAAAAAAAATTTTGTGTTAAACATTTTTTGCATACAATAAATAAAGTTTATTTTATAAATAATAAGTGGTATCTTTTACTTGGAAATAATTCATCCAGTTGGTATAACTTTACTGCTCAAGTTGAAAATACATTGTACATACAACATTGTGGTAGCCAATACTCAATGGCTTGCGAAAAACATCGGGACTCGTGTACAGAATAAAGCTAAAACGACACGAAAAGTATATTACTGAATAACGATAAGAAAAATCTGCTTAAGTCGGGTCCGATTGATATAATGTACTTACTCTATGAATTTCAAGTTTTACTTTATAAAAAAGCATCGATGTAGTAACAACCCATTAAGTTTGTGAAAACTTTGTATGTAGTATCACCGATTAAGTCTTCAAATTTGACGGTTCATGTGAGAAAATAAAAATCGTTATTCAAAATCATGGTGCAGGTAACGTGTGTAATTACATCTCGTGATATCGGTGTAAGGCTATGTGCAAATTTGTAGCCAAATTAATTCAATTATGTATTATGTTACTTATTTTCCTTCAACTCAGCTATTTAGCGGGGCTCTCGTATTCGCATGGCAGTAAGGTCTTTGACCTCATCAAGGTAACCTCGATAAATATACCTATCCAATAACTTTTGATCCAAGGGCCAAGGTACCAAGGTTATCCACAGAACAGAATTATAGAATAAAAGGAATCCAAGGTTATTGACATCGGTAAGACAATAACTAATATGGCCTTCACGATAAATCCGGCCTCAGTCCGGCTACCGGTACCGGCTACACTCGTGCGCGAAATTGTCTTTACCGCATCACTTGTGTTGCGATTTTTCAGTTCGTCCATTTACTGTTTGCGTAAATAACTTTTCAGATTCTTATTATAATTAGCTTACAGTCTGTGATGTCCATCAGTATAATTGCTGCAGCCGGTGTTACTTATACATACCTCCTCTCACGCGCACCCTTTTTTTCGTGTTGCGTGTGCATAACATTTAACATATATTTTTCCAAAATATATGTATATATATAACATATAAACAATAATAAATACATAGGTACAAACACATGCATCTTATTTTAGGTTAGTTTTTGCGTGTAATTACATTTCGATGGATTACTTGTCTTTTTTTTTTTTTTTTTTACAAAAATTTTACCGTAAAGCACACAACACGAAAAGTTAAAAGACAAGCGTAGGGTCCGGCCGCTGTTTTACTGATCAAACTAACTAATCGTACACTTACTTGGTTGATACGGGGATAGAGTTGTTGAGCAGAGTATATATGTATACTTATAAAATCGCAAGTTGAAAAGTATTGAGTAAAGAACAAAAAAAAAAAAAAAAAAAAAAAAAACGTAATTATTTTTGCAAGGTACACGTATTTGTGTCTCTGGAAGGTGTGGTATTGAAAAAAAATCCTTATAAACAAAAAGTATCCCGCAAGACAAGTGTTCGAAGCTATATATCATCGGGGGTAGAGAGGGGCGAATACAGTCCTTATAGAAATCATGGCAATACACCCTGGAGGAGATGCAAGAGAAGGTATCGAACGATGAGGAGTGCGACGGGTTGGTAAGGAGAAACCGGTGCCGGCAGCCGAAGCTCAGGACTCTTTTCTGTCACACGATATCGTCGAAAAACCGGGCCAAGGAGCCAATAAGTGCACCCCCGTGCGAGTGTTGCGACAACGTGTGTATATGCATATTGTACATAACAAAAAAATACATCAACATAATATCGTTCCTCAAGAAAATAAGCGCCCACACGATCAGGGATACTATGTGTACCTATGTTTATTCGGCAGCGGGATAAAATTTCGAGCAAAGGTAAAAAGAAAAAAGTGTCCATCATCAGCAACAACAACAACAATAGTCGCCCACGAGCCTGCAAACTGGAGAGGAGAGGCAAATTATGCTGCGATGCCGACGAGAAGACGAAGGAGACTGACAATTGTTGTCCACAAGGAGCAGCAGTAAGGAGGCCACAGACGAGCTGGGTCAAGCAGCGCGACGACTACCTGGACAGGATAAGCTGGACGACGGGCCACTGCGCTAAAACTGTCGAGTGCCCGGCTTACGCCGCCTACCTCGAGCGAGTCGAGAGAAAGAGCCACGCCAATAAGAGTAACCCCGCGTGCACTGATCCCAGTTAAGTGACAAATACATACATGGTTTTACATTTTATCTCTTATAACCAAAATCAATTCCCGTTGGGCCGTGAGTCATATAAGTATTTAATGGATCTTTCAGCGTGTTCCTGTAACGACGCCACTCGATCGACCGAGCAGTGCGACCATCACCAGAGAAACACCCGCTCGGCTGGCAGACGAAGACACCCGGAGATCCAGCCGACGATACCTGGTTTGTTCCCTCCTCCCCCTTCGCCGTAACGTATACCAAAAAATAACTCGTGTGCCCATTGTGTGTATAGATTCAAAGTCGTGTCGGTCGCGTCCGAGCAGTTGCAGCCCGACGCGTCGCAAGTCACCCGAGAAAGGTGGTAGTGGCAGCTGCGACAGGAAACGCGAGGAGCGCAAGTGTCCGTGCGACGAGGATGCCGACAAGTCGATCGCGGCGCGAAAGAGGAGCCAGAACGCCCTGGAGGGCACCTGCACGAAGGAGACCTGCCCGAATTACAGGCGCGGTATCACCAGTGAGCAGAATCAGCCTTTTTCTTGTTGACCACTGGAATATATTATACATACATGTTTTTATTCAATTATTCGTGTTTGTTCCCGAAACAAACGATGAGAAGCAAAAAGTAAAGCCAATTTTTTTGGGCAGCGTCCTCGTGGGTCTGTCCGCCGGAAAGGATCCAAAGTAGCAACGCCTGCCGCGACGCAACGACGCAAGAGCCGCGAGTGAACGCGCGCTTCGAGAACGGCGTGCTCGAGGCGTACTCGCAGTTCAAGGTCGTGTTCCCGTCGGCCGAGAGGACCGTAAAGACGACGTCGACGAGACGCGTACAGACGGACGCCGGGTCAACGAGAGACTGCACGGTTTCGGCCAACCGCAGGTGTCCCAGCAAACGGAACGTGCGAGTTGGCTGTACCGACGTCGATTTCGCTGGTTTGTACACCATTTTTATCATATCTGTGTACTCTCGAGTAAATAATACGTTGTTGTTGGGTCAGGTTGTTCAAGATGTGTAAATTGTATTGACATGTATGTATTTCGTTGTATCTCTTAATGTTCATGGGTAAACTAACAAAAAAAGTGTGTTGCCAAGACGAAACGCTGAATCAGCAGTCCAATAGAGCCCAGCACGATTACGTGCTTCTGACGCCGGGCGGGAAGTACGTGCCGCTCGTGAAAACGAGATCGGAGGGAAACGAGAGAATCGTCTTCACGGAATGCTGCGTCGATGGGAATTGTAGCAGAGTCCCACCGCACGACGGGTGTCCGGATTGTGGTTAGATTTTACGTTTAGTCCGTTTGAGCCGAAGAATCGGGGTGATTTAAATGCACGTGCTCGATTGCCTTGAAAGTAGCGCCCGTCCGAGATCTGCAAGACAAAGAAGCTCAGGGTTGCGCCGCTGGTGACGACAAAGACGATCCGACGACCACGAAACTTTTGCTTCGGTGTCTGGAGCACATGCTCAATCTGGAACAGCAGGATGGGAAAGGTGCTGAAATTTATTTCTCGAGATGAGATTCGCAATGTCCAAAAATAAAAAAAAAAAAAAAAAAAAAAACAATAAAGAAAAGCACAGGCTCGGATAGCGGGAAGGACGTGTCGTGCAAGCAGGGCAAGGCCAAGGAACACCGACGCGACGTGCTCAGACTTTCGGACAAGCCGAGCTGCGCCAATTGTGCAGGTGCGAGCGAGCCCCGACCAACCAGTAATTGCAGCAAGTGTTGTCCAAACAGATGCAGTCCTCGGGGCAAATTGGCGCAAAACTTTCTGGAGATCCTCAAGTGTGCTCTCGAATTGGACGACAAAAGAGAGAATCGCTGCAAAGACGACGATGACGATGACGATGGGCAAGGTCGGTTAGCTCTCGCGATTGACCTACATTTTCGTGACCAGCCGAACGACTCATCCGATAATCGTCGTTTTCAGATTAACGATCTTATTGCAGATTGTTGCGACTGCGACGTCGTTGGTGAGAAAAAAGCGCGACCCGATGGAAAATGCGAAAAAGACGGCACTGTTAGGTTTTGTAGCAAAAAACGCTCGGATAGTCGTCACTGCGAGACGATCGAAAACCGCAACGGAATGTCGACGGCGACCCAAGATTTCATAAGCGGGTTCGATTGTTTTTTCCAACTATACTGCCGTAAACACGAGCCTTTGAAATGAGTGTGCAAACGCGCGCGCGCGTGTGTGTTTCAGCGTCCAAAGTACCGATCGAAACAGCGGAAGCGCCTGCCAAGAGATACCGATCACCAGGGAAAACGAACGCACTCCGAGTCCCGGTTTCTCAAAGCTTCGTCCAAACGCCGTCCAGCACACGTCAGAGGACAAAAATTCCGTGTTGCAAAAATCATCGAAACAGCAGCAGGTTATCAAAACAATCGACGGGAGCTGCGGAAATCGGTATCCACTTACATCGACAGCTCAAGCCGCCGGAGTTCGGGAGAAGATTCCAAACACGTCCAAAGAGACGCAGTACAGCGCTAGGCAGCTTCCTGGTTCGATACAGCACACGTTATACAATACACGCTCGATGAGGATGAGGAGACTCTTTGATCGAAGCTTTGACCGCGCAGGCAAATTTTCGATCGGCACGCAAAAGCGCGACACGGTGCTCGAGTATCTCGTTAAGCGAGCGACCAACCGGTCCAGCTACGTGGATGGAAGGTGTCATACCCCGACCGTCCTGGCAACGGGCTTACCTCGGGACACTTGCGCGCCCGGGAAATCGAGGCACCCAACGGAGGACCGATCACCCGACGAGTCTTTCGAAGGCACCGCGGAGGACGCGAGGAACATGTTAGGCTGCGACGATGACAACAACGCTATCGGAGACGCGCGGCGCGTAAATTACCAGTTTTATCGGTCGTTCGTCATGAGAAACCCGGCCGAACGGGTCTCGGAGGAACAGGGAGGGCTGAAGCAGTACCACCGCCGGATATGCGGGTTGAAAAAGGTGATAATGGACGATCCAAAAATTGCCTCTGGTCAGCGATTGACGGAGGATTTATTTTTCACAGGTATACGAGCCTGGATACTGACTTCTGGATCTCGTGCGTCCTTGCAGTCGTGTTCTTGCGCTTAAAAAAAATGAAAAAAAATAGTCATACATGTAAATAGCGAATGGCGATGTAATGTGTGCTGATCCGTCTTGAAATAAATGTATCCGTAGTTAATAAAAACATCCCATCACTGGCTGAGAATATCGATTGAAAACAATGTGTTTTTTTTGTTTACGGTGAGGTAAGTGTAGGCTGCAACTTCAAGCGATTAGATATAGGAAATTGTTAAAAACGAAAAAAAAAAAAAAAATAAAATAAAATAAAATAAAAATCCTCGTTAACGTAACCAAACAGTAGGGACATGGGAAAATGCAAAAAAAAATCATTAAACTCGAGTATCTGGACGGACACGAACGTCGAGCGCTACTTGAAGCTCTTTTCAGCGAACCCAGTTCTCTGGGACGAGACGCGGTGTGACTTTAACAGTTCGAAATCGAAATGCGCGACCTACGAAAAGATCGCGGACGAATTGAATCTTCGTGGCGTCGATGCCGTGGAGTGTCGAAAAGTGTTCGAGCAACTGAAGAAACTCTACGCGCAAAGGCACCAGAGACCGGATGAAGCTCATCCCGCTTGGTTCGGCACTATCGGCAAGATGTTGAAGAAAATAGCAGCCACGAAGGGTATGAAACACATGGTAATGCAAGAAATCAGCAATATGGATAATTCGGGTTTTTCTCCATTTCAGGCAAAGAAAAGTGCCTATGCGGCGAACACCACAATTGCTACAAACACTGCGCCAAACAGCCCTTGGAATCGGCGTGCAGCTTTTACCACAAGATCAAGAGCTGCCACGAGTGTTGCACCAAACAGGACCTCGAATTCACGCCGATCTGCTGTGCCGACATGTTACCCACGGCGGAGAGCGTGGCGCTGGAGAACAAGTACCACATGTGCGAGGAGTGTTGCGCTCGACAGGGTATCGTTGGAGCGCCTTGTGCCGATTTTTACGCTTCCGAAAGTAGCATCGGTAGTCGCGCTGAAGATGATCAAAGATGCGAGCGTGCGACGAAGGGCTTTAGGATGGAGTTTGTCAATGTTAACGTTGCCGTGATTAGATTCGACGAAGATTCGGAGAATGACGAGAGGTCGATCGAAGATCGGCAACCCAATGACACCCAGCTGACGATTTGTGAGTGTTCGAGCGGAGGCTCCAGTTCCTCTGGGAGTTTGATAGAGAAGTTTTGTACCCAAGGTACTTACCTACTTCTATGCGAAAATTACATCTAAATTTACGGTACAAACTTTATATTAATGAAATTGTTGTTGGTTGTAAAATAGTCGTTTTCCTACGAGTTTGAAAAGTCTCTGTTTGCGAACCGAGAGGTTTGCAGCCCGAGCCGAAGGCGAGGTCCGTAACGAGGTTCGTAAAGGAGACTTCGAACGAGTATCGGAAAACTGCTTTTTTGCCCGAGGAAGTGCCACCCTCCCAAAACCACCCGAGGGCGGAAAAATATATTTAAAGTATGTATTTAACGAAAGTCAGTCACAAAACGTCCCTTAGGTTCAATGGTGCTAGGCAAGAATGACGCGAGCGACAGCGAATCAATTAATCCCTGTGATGACGACGGCGGCGATGATGAACAGCAACGATGTGACGTTAGGGGCGGCCTTTTTACGGATTCGTTGCGCTTCCGGGGTAAGCCGATCAGCTTGGCCGGTGATTGCGTGGAGGTCCCCGAGCCTCGGAGGCACTTTGCCGCGGCGATTCGCTCGTACGATGTTACTTACCCTCTGCAATTGGATATGTGAAAAAATGAAGAACCAGAGACTACATTGGCTATTTTTTTTTTCTTTACGTGTATATTTAGGTATATATGGTACTTATGTAACTTTTCTTTTCTCCAAAACTTTTTTACAACGTTTTTCAATCCTCGTGTAAAATATACCCAAAATTGCCATTTCACGCGCTAAAATATACATTAGTATTGGAAAATATCTTTGCAACTACAGGTGAGTGTGTACACAATTGGTTTTTGTTTGTATGTTTGCTATAAATATTGCAATAGCGCTTTGACATTTTTTTTTGTTTTTACAATATTTTTTTTTTCGCATGTTCGTTTTGCAGGTGTATAGTATTAAAATTTGCATACAAGTACTTTTTTAGCTACTGTACGAAATTCACAAGCAGAAGGTTCTTTTTTAACACTGCACGGTTTGATATTACTCTTCATTTTTTAAGCATTACTAATTGGTACATATAGTTTTTAATTCACGGCAGATGCTTGTATAAATTTAGAAAATTTAAGCGGCAGGATCGAGTTTTCCACAAATGATATCAGTGAAGTTTTAAAAGTTCGTATTAAAAGCAATAATTGTTGTCTGTTGAGGCATTAAAATTTTATAATTGTATATTCATCATGAACACAAAAAAAAAAAAACTTACGACCCTTGAATTTTTAAGATCACGTGCACTTCAAAATACGTGTGCGTGTACTCTGTTATATAATTTGTAAAAGTTATAAATTTTTATTATTTTATTATTTTTTTTATTGGAAAAAACCAATAGGAAAACATACGTTTCATCATGTTTAATATAATTTTTCGCATAAAGAAAGACATTCTCGCAAATTAATGAATTGACAAACAATGTGTGGTGTACTGTTTAATATCAAACAATACACGTTATTGAATAGTATTTCAAAGATGTGCAAAAAAGTGCTATTTATAAATGAACTGAATCTAGAAACAAAGAAATAAAAGATATGAATCTCAATCTGAAACAAGCAAGAAATCATATTCTAGAACAATATCTTATTCATCTTAAATTTTTTATTTTTTTTCAATTCCACACATCCTTAATATTGAGCTATTATAAAAACATTCAAAAACCTTTGTGATTCATGCAGGTAATTAAAATTATTATAACAATGAAGAGGTTCTAGACTAAACAAACATAAAAATTTTTGTTCGACGTTTAAAATCGTTAAGGGGACTAAAACTATTGTTTCTGGCAAGATATAACATGGCTACGTGCTTTTAACGTTTCCTCTGAGAAAACGGATTACGTGCAGCCACAGTAGAGAGTCACATACGTATACAGGCATTTACGTAATATTTTTCTTCTCTCGAAATTACTATAATACTGTTGTCTCGATGTTTGCGACTCGCAGCATTTTAGATTCGATGAAACATTTAATTAATAAATTAAAATCATTGTACTTTTTGTCATCATCAACATTCCTAGGAATAAACATCATAGACTAGTTTAAGTTACAAGACCGCTTTGTGGTATAATCGCAGTTACGCTTTGGATGGACGATCAAGTATCAAGGTGAGTATGACATTTATATCTCTCTTTCCAAGTACGTGCCTTTTTATTTCATCATCATTAGAATAAAATAAGGATCAGCATGAATCATAAAATACGCAAAATTGAAGGACATCGATGAAACAAAAAGGCGTAGAGAGTCAAGTGAAACAAAAAATCGCTCCAACAACGCGTCACGATTTTCATAGACGGGGTTCGGTGAGTATGGCGATGACGAGCAGCCACGAACGTCGGCTCAGTTGTTCTTTTTCTGGTCTGTTTTTTCGTCCTTCGCCTGGCCACGGCCCAATATCTTCGCCAATGAGTCCCAGATACCGCCCAGGAACAGGGTACAGGACAAATTCTCGAATGGCACGAATGGATCGTGGATGCCCAGCAGGATGGAGGACAGCTGAAATTTCACGAAAACAAATCATCAATAATGGCATCGCTGTTGTTACTTTTTAATTGTTTTTATTCCGAAAGAACATGCGTATAAAAACTTGAGAAAACAGTGAATGAACATAAAAGTATGGAGCACAAAAATTTTTATGTCGTTGGCCAATGTATGTATATTATATATTCTCAAGTTCAACGCGTCAATCGTCGTGAGTCTTTGAGCCATGAAGCTCCTCGACAACCTTGAAGTAAACGAAGAATATGACGATGCCGAAGTAGACGAGGGCGTGAGGCGCGGAAATGAGGTCAGTCTTCTTGTCCAGCACGAATATGATCGAAGCGACCAGGGAAGCTTTAGTGGGGCTGAAAGACAAAGCGTTGGTGTTGAGTTGACAATTCGAAGAATTATTATCATTGTTATCAAACGGTATGCTCACAAGCTCGGTTGCATGAACTCCATGGCAGTGGGGGTCCAGGCTCCGCGGATCAGGCGCTCAAACAGCTTTGTAAAACCAGCTCCGTTTCCTTAGGGAGCGAGACAATCGATCGGATGATTGATTTTTGTGGTTTTTGTCTCACAAGGTCATGAGATAGATACATTGAACTTTTTTTTTTTTTTTACCTTTGAGTGTCCCGATGAGGATCATAATGAGGTACGCGTTGGGGTACAATTTGCTCGCGTGAGAGACACCGTCGTAAACCTTTTTACACCTGTGCGAGTAAATTTCAATGTTTATTAATAATTTATTGAAAAAACATCCATGCCTGGAATATTCCTATTCTGAAAAAAAGTGTAACGATCTCTGCTGTACTCGCATCATAAATATGCAGTTTTGTTTTCTCGGTACATGCAGACTTAGGCACAATTGCTTTATGGATTTTTTAACAGTTTGAAAACAATTTTTTTTTTTTCCTGAAAGATTTGCAAAATTTTTTAATTTTTATTAATAACTATTCGCAATACTACACTGAGAAAAAAGTTTTTTTTCAGGCAAATAAGTGCAATACATTTTAGAGACATTAAAATTTAGTTCTTAATGTGAAAATTGATTTTTTTAAATATATTTAAATATATAGGTACTTTGACTCTGCTCTAAATTAAATTTTCTTGAAAATTGCAACGCTGAAAATAGTTTTGTCAAGTACTGTATTGTTAGTAGAAATGTGAAAAAATATTTTTTAGTATAAATAATGCATTTTAGCAAAAAAAATAATAGTTTAAAAAAACTAAAAAATCGTCCGTGCCAAATTTTGAGTACAGAAAAAATATTTGAATACACATTACCTGTAAATTTCCTTCATCGCGGCGCATACTATCTTCACAGGCAAGAACTTGGCAACTTTGTAGCCTATATCGAACGGCGTGTAGAATACGACGTACCTGCCCGTGAAAATGGGAAACAAAAGAAAATACATCCGACTCTCGTCATTTATATTTACACACACTGTAGGTTTATTGATGAAAATTAAAAAAAAGAAAAAAAAAAAACTGACCAGACAACAGTGGCAACTACGACTTGAGGTGTGTTTTTCAAGGGCGCCAGTATTGGTTCGCCAAGTAAACCGTTGCACAGCATACCACCGGCGAAGATGACCAGCATCGTCGACAGCCAACACGAGAGCGGATGTTTTCTCGAAAATGCTTGTGCACCTGTTACCGATCATTTAATTATTGCTCTTATTATTACGATTATTTTTTTCATCCTAATATTAAGACAACCTTGGAAGGATCGAAAAATCGACGTACCCTAATTATCTTGAGAAAACGCAGACTTGGGCACGGATACTATAAACATTTTTTTGCTAAAAACACAATGCATCATATACACGCTAAAATATTTTTTTTAATAACTTCTTACGACGGAATGCTTCGAAAAATGTTTTTCAACAAAAACAATTTTCATAAAAACTTAATCAAACTTTATTAAAAAGTACTTAAACATTTGATTGTAGATACTTTATCAAACAAATTTAATATATAAAATTTATTGCACTAATCAGCTAGAAAATTTTTTTATTAACAATATATAATGCGAATAGTGATGAGTATTAAATTTTTTCGACAAAAAAATGCACTTTATTAATTTTAATTTTCAATCGTTTGAAAATCCATAAAATAACTGTACCCAAGTCTGAGGAAACTCGTGTTACAACGATACCAAAGTGGTTGAGCAAAGAACTTGCTGGACTATTACTTAAATGAAAATTTTCAAAGCTCTCATTTGTATTAATTATAAGCTTGATTAAAGACATTAAAATGTTGAAATACATCGGAAAAACTTTTTGTTCGATTAAAGTAATAATCGGCACGACTCAGTTATTCAACGCTAAAAAGTTGCATCAACTAAAAAAAAAAACAGTCTGTAGGGTAAGGCAATGGCATTTCGCAAAGGGTTTACGGGAATCCATTCAAGTGCTCAGTGTGTACGTTGTACTTGAGTACAGCATTTCTACACAAGTATGCATACATAGAAAGTAAAAAAACAACCTATTTTGCTGAAATCATGAGACATATATGCAATAAATAATTTTAATTACTCGATGATTGTTTATTGACAGATGAGGACGAAAAATAAAATGTACGTGTGACATTTATGTATTGAATTAATTTACGATTGTTGCTCCAACGTGTAAATAGCACTCGATGTGCTTATCAAAATATTAATTATATTAATTCTAACAGCTTTAATGTTCTTGTTTATGTTGTATACCTACAACTGTCGTTTACCTTAAAAATTAGTTATTTTCATTCCCTCGACGTATACGGATTCAAGTTCAACGGTCACGTGGTTAACGTTCATCCAATAATAACATTGAAAACAATGGCCAAAGTCGTAGTGTAAGAATTTTTGAAGACAAAAAAAAATTCAAAACAATCTACATTTCAATTTTCATGAGCAAGTTCACGAACAAACGTGCGATTAATCTTTTGTATATTTCTTTTATTTATTTACTTTGGAAAATGCGTATGTCAACTTGGACTTGCATATAGCAAAAACAAAAAAACAACCAAATTCTTTACTTAGTACCTGCGAGGAAATCCAACCATTTTTACTTATAGTTTATAATAGCTGAACTATAGTTGACATAATAATAACATTGTAACACCATCTCTGCAGAATTTCCTCTTTTTTTTTTTTTCTTTTTCTTCTTTCGTCAGTTCAACTGTTAAAACTGTACAGTTACCACTGATCGTAAAATTCATCGATTTTCAAGCACATAAAAAAAAAAATACTCCATAATAAACGCTCGACCCTTTCCTCGTAAAAATGTATTACACGTATACAGATACACGAGGCGGTGGCGTCCTTGGTGCAGTTTTGTTAGGCGATTTCAGAAAGTCATTGTTAGGAGAATGTAAATGAAAAGATGTTTGTTAGTTTTCCACACTCGATGAATTCTGACGCATATATAGACGTTGTAAAAACCGTCCCTCGAACATCGATAAAAAATAACGCATCAAGAGCACAACTTTTTACGGTATATGACATATATGAAATTTGTACTTGATGAATAAATAAAAAGAATTTCACGAACCATCACACGCGTAAAAGATGCTGGGGAGGGGGATGAGGGATTCGAACACGCGTTTAATTTTCCGAACAGTCTGGTCGAGGAGCGGGGGGAGGGGGAAAGATAGAAATAGATCGTGTGGCGGTTTTTCGCTGTTCATAATATACTTACGTGTAATTTTATATCTACATAACTTTCGAGACGGAGCACTATTAGAGTTACATGTATATAGTTGTTATCATCGATTGTGCCAAGAATTCGTTGCAGTTACCGATGGGGGGGGGGGGGGAAGAACTTTTCAAATTCATCATTCTTTTGGTCGTTGAGTATTCGTGACGTTTCAGGAGCCGACCGAAAAAGTTTGCCGTACGGAGGATTATGTATAGATGCGCGAGAGATGACGCAAAAAAATGTTATTATAAAACTTGGCCGGTACCGATGATGATGCAGGTGGGCCAATCGATGCGCGCGATTTTCCTTGCCAGGTGTTTTCTCGTCAAAAAGTATCAACTTTGAGGATAGTCGTTAATATACTGCGCCATCATTTGGAAATGTTATTTTTGTTTTTCACGCGTTTGACCATTCGACCAAGAAAACCCTTTTGCCCTCTCATCGATTGTTCGAAACGCTGGTGTGACAAATTCGGACTCGGCAATGATGTAACGTTCAAAACGAAATCATTGCAATTATTCACCGATGAAAATAAAATCAATAAGAAATCGATGTGACGATAACAACGAGTATCGCGCTGTAGAAATAACATACTTTGAGAGCAAAAGCTCGCGTGTTCAGTACGAAACGGTAAGCGCCTCCCCAGCATTCATACGTACAAATCTAATTACACGGGGGTAAAGCAAGAGCTCGAAAAAAAATCCAAATCGGGAAAAGCTGAATTTACACGTCTCGTCCCTCCCCCCCCCCTCCCCTGTAACCGGTCTAGAGAGCAGCGACCAGAGCCTTTTAATAATAGAAACGTCCCAGCAGCGTGTGTAGGTATAAATATGTATACCCTGTGCATGTAAAGCTCGAAAGCTGCACGCGAGCTCTCGTATACACATATATGTTGTATGTGCGCAGGAGGGGGGGGTGCGAGGGGAGTAAAACTTACCCGGTCCCAAGTCCTCCCTGACGTGAAGCGCGCAAAGTACGCAGTGGGCTATATCGAAGTACGGGAACATCTTGAGCTTGACCACCTGGTTGGCCACGTCCAGGAACGCCTCCGCGTCCATCCTTGACTGTTTTTTATTTGTTTCCCTTTTGCTTGGTTACTTTTCGAAATCGGCCCCCTCGGAGGCGAAGTGTTTGAAAGGCAGGAACAGCACCCGCTCTATCGGGGCTCCCGAAGCTTTTTACGCTCGTGTATTGTGGTATGCGTGCACGACGGCCTATCAATCCCACTGGCGCTTATGAGAGAGTACGACACTACGGTTGTGCATGGGACTCGAGAGTCTGCGATTAAAGCGTGACCGGCGGAAAAGGTGTGGAGAGGGATCAAAGTCGCGGACACTTTTTTTTTCTTTCTTTTTTTATTTCTCCCTTTTCACAGCCGTCGAGGCCCCCCGAGAGAGACTGAGGCTGCATGCAACGAGAAATACACCAGAGCAAACTCCCCTTCTCCTTTGCGTTTACTCCCGTCTCTGTCGTCTGCTAGTTGTGAGCTCCGTTTTTTGTCTTCATTTTTTTTTTCTTGCGCGCTTGAGCTTGCGTCGTCTGCTGTGTCGGTAGGGTGGGCAGCGTTCTTAACAGCAGAGAAGGTTTGAGCTTTTTATCATAATCGCGCGAAAAATTTGAAAAAGTTTAATTTTCTGATGAGTGTATTTGTGGGAAGTATTGTTCTGTACAGCCAAAGCTGTGCTTCCACAAGAAAAGGAGCACGAGAGAAAAATAAGCACACGCGACAGATTTTATTATAAAAATACAAAATGGCTTTTATTCGTTATGTACAGTGACTTTTGCTCTGCTCACGTCGATCGAGAGCTATAAAGTAGCCCTCAGCTGTAGCGCACCGGCAGTGTGTGTGTGTGTGAGTGTGACTGTGTGAGTGTGAGTTGGCTCGCGCGTGCGCAGGAAAAGATGTTCCATGTTCCGGATGTTCGATGTTCATGTTCCCATGTTCCCTTGGGACGATGGTCTGCTTTCGTCTTGAGCGAAGCTGGTCGCTGTGGCTGAAACGCCACATATTTTCAAGTCCCAAAATGTATGACAAAGTTTGATTTTACAGTGGCAATTAACAGTAGGAGTACATATTACATCATACGTACAATACGATATATTGCAATGTAAGAATTGTAAACTTGTGAGAAATATAATTTTTACTTTGGAAATCACGCTAAACAATTATAAAAGTGTATGTATACGCGCCCACAAATATTCGTACACCAAAAGTATAACGATTTCACATGTTTAACGTAAAACTGCGGAACGTTACTGCGTCAAGAGAAAAAAAAATTGTACCACCCCGTTCCCGCTGAAAAAATCGCTCATCGTGCAAGAATAATATTTTAGCATACATATTGGAATATAGTTGATGCCAATTAATCGTAGATACAATAATGAACAATTCGCATAAAATACACGGTATCAAGTGTTTGTGTATATGATATTTCTTGTTCCACCGGTCGAGTGACATATTCAGTTTCTAGGCTGCTGGCGAGATAATTTTTTTTTTTTTTTTTCACTCCCCCCCCCCAATTAAAAAGAATCCAGTTGATACTATAAACCATACTGAAAATTTTTTTAATCGAGACAATGTAAAATATTTTTGTTCGAGTACGTGTGGGTAAGTATAGTAAGTATTTGATTGAACTGATGAAAATAGTTTACATCTCACTTCATACGTATATCATCGACAATAGTTGGGGGAGCTCTAATTTTGTAACTGATCCATTCTATGTGTTGTAATGAATAACCGTGCATTTTTCGGGGAACATCCGCGAACATGTAGTTGTTATTCAGATATCTTAAACTGAAAAGTGAACAATTTAACATTGGCTGTTACAGTAACAACCTCATCACCAAGGAGTTGACATGTACGTACTTTGGTAATATAGTTAAAAAGTTGGAAAAAACATTAATTTGATACTTCAAGTATTGTAGATCAATAAATAATTCTCTGATTTTTATCTGTGTCCGTAATAAATAAAATAAGGAGTACAATTATTAAAACAAAACAAAAAAATATACTTAGGTTGATGAGCTTGACACATCGTGCTTCTCGTGGTGAATAAAGTGACCAACGAGTGTATTCTCACGTAAGTTTAACCATCTATTTTTCGTAGTTGATAAGTATATAAATATTTTTTGCTTGATAAAGATTTTTTCGAAATGTATAAAGACGGAATCTTCGACTTTCTAGCCGTGGGGGGACACGGAAAATCGTACAAGCGCAATCCACCGCCGGAATAAAAGACACAGGATACAAATATAAACGATACTAATGAACGTTAAAATAGGATATTAATTTATATAAGTATGCTATATGTAGTATACATTTCACGTACTTGTAAGATATTGCTTATTGTTTGAATTTAGATAGAGACATTAGAGGTGTTATGATTAAAATATTATGATTTTTTTATAGATGTTTACACTTAAATGTACGCAATGTCCCGTGAAATATGAAAGTACATAACACTCGCACTTTGAATGAACAAAGACCCTTGAACGAGTAAAATTTTATTACACATGAAACGTGTGCCTGCAACTTTGTAAAATTATCATTGTTTTCTCTAAATTACATGTATTTACTCCGTATCGTGGCCCGTAAAATGAGAGTTCCGAAATCGTGGCATTCCTCGAGAGTAGTATAGAATGCTGGTGCACGCAAATTTCTTCACCACCTGCAGCTTCAAGCGTCATGAAAATATACAGGTACAGCGTAACAAGAAATAGCAAAACATAGATGCGTCTCGTGTAAAGAGAAAGAGCTGCGTTGAGTTATTATAATTTTTGAGAAAAAAAAAAAAAAAAAACAACGTTTTCCCTCTCTCGCCTCCATAATATACTCTCCAACTTTGTGCCCCTTATTTTTTACTCCGACGCGCGAGTTACGTGGGGAGCACATTACGCGGACCGATCGAGTTTTCATGCGCTCGCGCAATGCCCGCTCGAAATTTCGCTGATTGTCCCTACCTATTATAATATATACGTACAAGTACGGATACAAGGGGATAGTGTATATATATTATATAATTGTGCGGTGGCACGAGATTTGCACGGGCCTGATGTTGCAATGGTCAAGTGGGCGCATTGAAAATCGTTGGGTGAAAAGGGATAATTCGCAGGCTCGTCGTCGCGCGCACCGGGTATTTGCGTTTTTATTTGATGCCCGGCCGACGTTTATGGCGTTATGCAAATTGCACAGCGCTCGCCGATCCATGAGAACGGAATAAAGATGTTTCTCTCGCCCCCTTCCCTCCCCTCTATATGCGCGATGGTTATTGAAAATGATCGCCATAAGCTTGTTGACCCATTGATTTTCGCTCGTAAGCACCTCTTGGGAATTTAATTGAGATCGACTTTTTTTTTTCCTCCGGTTTTATATCGTTGGCTGTCTCCGCTGGTGCATCGCCTTGAAGTTTGCACTAATTTCTTTTTTTCTTTCACTCCCTGTAATAGACACAGGTGTTCTTGTACTTCATGCCCTGTTTACATACTTGGCTCTTTTTTTGGCAAAATATTCCGGCAGCGATCTATCCCGATGGGGGTCAAACACCTATACCATTTTATTTCTTAAAATTCCGGCCACACGAAGGGGNAAAAAAAAAAAAACACGCCTCTGGAGTACTTGGTAAAATACTTGCGTGTTGAAAAAAAAAAAAAAATTTAATACTTACGCCTTGTACATTATATAATCCTCGTCTTTAGCTTGCGTGGTTTGTATAAAAGAATCAAGAGCTCTTCGAGACATCATACCCATATTCTTTATTCTTTGCAATGGGATAGTGCCATTATATAAATAACGAAAGAAGTTTTTTTTTTTTTTTTTCAGTAAAACCCTACTTTTTCTTTTTTAATCGTAGTTTGATTTCGTACAAAATTAAATTGTCATCTCTCGGGGCAATTGAAATCAGCGTTAATCTGAGCTCCGGGGGCTCTATACCTCACATCCAAATGATCCATGTTTAGGTTTAAAACGCGGCGATCGAGGGCACCACGATTTTCCCTTGTAAGTACAAATTTTTAACGTAATTTTCGATCGAGTCGTAATTTTTTTTTTTTTTTTTTTTTTTTCATCCCACTAGCGTTCAAATACCTACAGACTTGTATCACGCGCATCTGACTGCTTCGAGTTTCCACACCCTTTTGCCGCAATCAAAACGGAATAAAATTGCAATGCAAAAACGACGACTCTTCGAGAGCGAATAAATAAAGAAGAAGAAAAAGTTGTATCCCAATATCGCGATTTTTCAAAGATTCCTCCATACGCGGACCCGCGAGAGCCTCTCTCTCTCAGCCTCCCCCACCTCGAACAAGTACCCACACTCTCGTAGCGTTTTTATACATGTGTGTATCAAATAATACGTATGCGAGACGCCAGGATGTGTCCCCATATACATCATCGCACCAGTCTCGATCGCGCACACTTACCGAGCGCTCTGTCTTGCCCATGTCACATGAATCTCATAGTTTTCGCACCCTCTGGCAACCGCGTACGCGTAAAATTGTTATTTTAATTACACGCAAACGTGACGCGATATATATTATATACTGTATAAACATCGGTATACAATTATATTTATAATGATGTATGTATAACGTATGCCGCTCTGATGTATAGATGATGCGTGTATGGTTGTCGGTGTGGGGGACGATGACGTTGGATGGTAAAAAAATCCGGTTCACGGCGAGAGAGCGGACGGTCCAAAGAGGAGGAGATCGAGCGCGAGTCCGTGCGCCAGTGACAGCTCGGGGAGATTGTTGTGACGAGGCTGTGCGGCCAGTGTGTGTATGGTGTCGTTGACGATTGACACATATATATATATATTATTTGTCCGGGTGTCGATCGGCAATGCAGTCGATGAGGCCGCAGGCGATGAGCCGCGACGAGGCGATCGAGGAAGCGTCGAGTTGGACCAGTGCGGATGTCGTCGAGCTTCTAAGGAAGGTGATGTGTGGCTGTACCATGCCCATATATATACATATATGGGAACTCGAGTGTGGGTTACCGATGCGAGAGCTTCTATGCGCGGTGTCTTTTTTTTTTTTTTTTTTTTTTTCATCCATCCGCGTGTACATGATGCGTATATTTTTGATTTCACGGTGACGCTTACTCAGTTTTCACGGCCACATTCTTGAATGAATTTATCGCAAGCGCGTGGGTATATATATGTATAAGGAGGTTGTTGACTTTCCAATCGGTATCGCGTGTACGGGAGGTCAAGTGAAATTATTATCTGATCTGTCTCTGGTGTGTATAGGGACGTGCCTGTGGTGCGCAGAGTCGCGTAAGGGTTGTAGCTTTTTTTTTTTTTTTTTCACAGTGGCTGTCATAAAATCCTTGAAAATTATTTATTTATTTTTTTCTTTTTATGCGTATACATACGTAGAATATAGTATCCACGAGATTTAGTAGTGTATACAAACTCAGTATGCAAACAAGATTTTTCTATTGTTTTTTTTTTTTTTTTTTTCGGGGCAGGACATGTTCTAGAAATTATTTGCAACATATATGGCTTTGACGTTGAAATTCGTGTGAACTGTATGATAAAAAATGCAAGACACGTTATTGTACGCAAAAGTGCAGTGATCGATATTTCAGGTCGTACAACTTTTTTCAGAGATGCTTTTTTTTTTGTTCTCAAGTTGCTGTTATTGTATTAATTTAAAATAAGAAAATTTTTCAAAGATACGCATCGATGAATTATTTTCTTACTTTGTAAATATAAAAAATAACTTTTTGAACTGACAAAAAACAACAGATTTTTTGTCATAAATCTTCTTCCGACAATTTACAAATAATCCTCTATTTCTCCATTGAACCATTGATACAAAGTTAAATTGATTTGTAATAGCCTTGCATTAAATGATGTGGACATATACGGATAAATCAAGACCGGTAAAGCGACAGAGTACATATATTATTATGTGATCACCTGCGTACATCAAATAGTGTATATGAAAAAAATTTTGTTTTTATAAAAACTACCACGAGATTTTCATTTATAATAGCAAGATAGTTCGCGAACCAAATACACTAAATTATGGAAAAGTTGCGAGTTTACTCAATAAAAATAATAAACTCGTGGCCATTCTTTCATTTTTTACGGACTGTTTACGTTATCAGTAGCGCGTAATTGTCTGCTTTACAATTGTTACTACGTTATCTGTTATGGTGCGCTTCTTCAAATTACAATCCACTGCCAATATTAACAGAACATGTGATCGTGTCCCAATGTAAATCAGTACGTTTTTTTTGCATTTCCAAGATTATTGCGTCGATGGTTAAACACGCGTGCGAGTGATTTTCTCTTAATTTCTATTCACTTGGTTCAATATTGTCACTTAAAAAAAAAGTTTGTTTGATTTCTTGTTCCAGTCTATATCGTACTGCACTTTCCTTATTACGCTTACCGGTTCACCTGTTCAAAAGGTTTATCGTACCTTTTTCATGCGATTGTATTATTTATTCTGTAAAAAAATATGATTATTATTATTATTATTTGCTGAAAACTCTATTAAACACACGATCACTTAAACATTGTTACAACTGAAAAAATACAATTTGGTAATGAATAAAAATTCATACGAAATAAGTTGATAATTTAATTCCCTTTTAGACAACAAAGAAAAACACCTAATTTTAATTATACAGGCGTATATAAGTTAGACGACGAAAGAGCACGTGGCCTCCGGCTGATTTTGCAAACAAACCATCGCCGATCATCACTCGTATATACATTATACATATTGTTTTTTTCAACATTCATTTTCCGATCCACGAGTTTGTTTTATACACACAATCGCGCACTTAATGCTCGTGTCTGTTTCGAAGTGATATCATGTGCAATCGATACGAGCCATAGTCTTTCGAGCCACGCGAAGTTTACAGTTTGCACGTAAACAAGTTCCGATGAGCACGTCTTGGCTCGTGAAAACAGATCCTTAAATTAATTTACATCGAGGACTTATTTATTCGATACCCCATTGTGTAGTGAATAATTATTAAATAAGTGTATAATCCCTTGATTTTATGGAGTGTGAAAAATCTTGAGTTAATTGTGCCGCGTCTTTGTATAATTTCTCAGTTAGTAGATTTTTTTTTTTTAATTCTTATAACGCTACATTTACTTTACTTGCAATATTCCCTTTTTGACAAGTACTACTCATTTAAAATTATTGTAATTATTACAATAATTATTATTACTAATAACAAAAAACTGTATCATTAAAGTCTTTGTTTCTCTGATAACTGTTAATTTTACGAAAATATTGAGCCACATTTTTTGTCTGTTTTATTCTTGAAATTTACTTAACATTTGAAGAACCATCATATCTTAAATTTTTCCTAAAATCAGAGATATTTTACACTAATGCTTATAAGTATAGGAAATATTATTAATTTATGTAAAAAAATTTCAAGTGCACGAATGAGACGTAATGTATGAAACACACGAAAATCCAAATATCCAAATAAACGGTATTCTTGCAACACCTCTATTGTTTCCTGCAAGAAAAAAACGTAATAAATTGTATACTAGTTTAAAAATTTTTTTAAATACACTGACCACTTTCAGCATATGGTAAAATTTTTTTTATTCTCGAACAAGTATAGGTGAGTTTCTAGACAGATGCAATATTTTTGTACTCCCAAGCACTGTACATAAGTAATATGCCACTCCTGCCGAGAAGTCGCGTCTAAAAAAGTTAAATTCCACTCTCGTCTGTGGTTACACCAGTCGACGCTATACGTATACTTTTACTGTCTCAATTGTACGTACGATTTGCCAGAAGCCTTTGTAACCATTTCTTGCGACTCGCCATACTAACTTTGACCAATTGAACGATTCGTGACTACAGGCCCATCACTCTGTTTCTTAAAACTTGGATGTTTTGTTTTTTTTTTTTTTTTTGATGAATATAAAAAAAATTGTACGAATAACAAAAGTTTACGTGGAATTTTCAGTCAATAATATACAATATGGCTGATTAAAAAAAAAATAAACATCACATCTCCACTTTTTTTTTATGTAATTATCAACACTTTTCATTTCGTTTGAATAAGTATGAATCTGGAGTGTACACAAAAAAAACTATATAAAGGATTATTACCACCATGTCAGTTATTATTATTTTATTTTATTTTTTCAAATATGAGTAACGATCCCTTTGTTTACAGAATGGAGTGGAAGAGCCGTGCTGGAAGGCAGCCGAGAAACGCCAGATTGACGGGGACGAGTTATTAGTAAGTAATCGCTCATCTACCGATTGGCTCACCAACGTATCTGATTTTGTTTTTATTAAATTCATACGATGAATAATACATTTTATCAAACGAGACAAATCGTTGAATCCTTATTACTTAAGGTGATTCATTGATGAACGCCTTTGCTGCTCCTTCATACATTTAATGTTAATTATACCCATTGTTTTTAGTGATTATTTTGATTGTTGAATGGATTTACGCCCAACTGACAAAATCAATACTGTTTAGCGCGTCAAAAGTACGAAAAATCGGTCCAAAAGTACCATCACAATGGCGCAAAAAAGTAATTATATTTGTTCCGACACTTACGATTCGTACCCTCCGTAATAGGGCCGCTCACCCTTAAATACACTTGTCCTTCCACAAAAACAATTGTTATTTTTATTTTTACTTTATCACGCAAAAGAAAACACACAACTACGTATATATATACTATATATATAGTATGTGTATCACGCCACATTTACAGCTTTGTGCCATGCATGTCGGTTCTAGTTCATTTTTTACTTCGTTTTGTGATTTTTTTTTTTTTCCTTCCTTGAGTTCTCCATCTGACCAATTTTTTTAAATTGCAGCACTTGACGGAGGGGAAGCTGGCGCTATGGAAAAGCGACCTGACCAAACCTCTTACACGGTGAGAGATTCTGTTCGCTTTTTATGCGTGCGCGTGCATGGTTTTTTTTTTTTTTTTTTTTTTTTTTTTAAATTAAAAATATTTATCGAATTAACGGCCTCTTCGATGTGTTCCAGGAAACTTTGGGCGTTCGTCGAGGAGTTGAAGAAACATCCCGAGAAGTACGTCGAGCAGCGTCACAGGCACCAACAGCCGACAACAGCCGCGGAGTCGCATACGGTCGCGGTGAAATGCGGTGCATCACCTAGTGACGTGAGCTCCTGGGACACGGACTTTGACGACGAGGAGGACGAATCGAGCGGTTGCAACGGGCACGCGATCACCCCGTCCATCATCAATTCCGACGAATTTCTCAGCAGGTTGAGGCTGTTTCAGGAAAACGACCGGGTGCAGCGACAACGGACCGAAAGCCTCAAGGGATCGAATTTCTCGTAAGGATTTTTCTTGCTCGATTCGACCCCCAAACAGGGACAGTTTTCCAATCGGTTGTTGTATCGTCGAGGTTTTCACCTCATACACAATTAAATAAATTTTTTTTTTTTTTTTTTTTTACGATTAATATGTATTCTTCATCGTCGTATTATATGGTGTGAATCCACCAGTGGCACTTGGAAGTACACGTGAAGTTTTGTATTAGGGATGCCGGGGTGAAAATGGCAGTGAAAGTAAAAAAAAAAATTAATCAAAATTGGCGAAATAGTCACAAAAACATCGTTTCACATAAATATCATCCTTTGAGATAACCATCCGCGTGGATTAAACATCAAGACACGAGAGTTTTTTTTTCTGTTCTGGACATGGTAAAAAAAGTAATGATACAGTCGATAAAACACGTGAAATTATCCTTTACGATTGTCCGTTTGATCCGTACTCGGAATTAATGGGTCCCCTTGAAATCTCCAACGTGACGTAAAGAAAAAGAACTATGCACCCTGTATAGAGCTAAACACGCCAAAGTTTTCATATTATCCGTATGATTGTAATAAACGTAATTTATTGATCCTGGGGCGATTTCAGGCTGAACCGGATGGAGAGGACGAGCAACGGGGGGGCAGCCCCGACCCCGAGGGGCACCTCGGCACACAGCAACGCACCGCCGACACCCGAGACCACTTACGCGAACTGCCAGTCGGAGGACTTTGGCGTCGTCGAGGAGAACACGTACATGAACTGCGCGTGCGAGGTGCCACCGCTTCGACCCGGGCAAAACAAGCCGGGGAACGTTGGTGCGACGAATCAGCAGCAAAAAAGCCTCGCGGAGAAGCTCAGGGAGCAGCTTATGTTGCTGGACGTGAGGCAGACGAGCGCCGTTGCGCCAAGGTCCGGGGATACGTGCAAGGCGAGGGATGACGCGGAGCTGCGTGCCGTTGGCGAGCCGAGGCCGTCGTTTTTACACAGGAGATCCAAGATCGAAGCTGGCTTTGGTCGCGGGGATTCACGCAGCAATGGCGTTTCGAGTAAATACAATTTTTTTTTTTTTTTTTTTTTCCATTTCCTGTGTACAGAGGTGCTTTTTTGTGACTTTTTTTACCAGTGATGTAGTCGGTCATTGCTAGTGCGATTGATAAATATTAACATTTTTGTTTTAGATGTAAAATTGTGCATCATTTATAATAATATAATTCATTGTTATTAGTGTACTTTTATGCTTGGAGTCCAAGGTTTTTATGCGTTAAAAAAAGGTTTGCAACAACGTTACGTTGGCAGCCCAAAAAATTTTTATAAAATCTAAAATATAGCGTAATCAAAAAATGCCCCGAAGATTATCCTGGTACAATCGATATAGGACTTTTCTTTTTTATAAAACGTTTTTCGGCTACCACAAAAAAAAAATAATAATTCGGTAATAAATACTTTCTGTTTCTGCTTGAATAATATTTTATTATTTAAGGGATATTTAAACATTATTTAAAAGTTTTTACAAAAGTTATTTATGCGTACGTTTGTCAATAAACAAAACTTCGAAAAATCTAAAATAACGCATAGGAAAAAATGTCCGCAGATTGATCTGGTTAAAGAGACGCTTTCGAAACGTTTTTAAGATGCATTGTAATAAAAAAGGTTTATCATTCGGAAATGTAAACATTTTCCAACGTTGTTATTTGAAAGTGCTCGCAAAACTTGTTTAGGCTGAGAAAAAATAATGACCAACTGGTCCTCACAAAAAAACCCGATGATAACGACAACAAAAATAACGAGTAAACCCGTTTTGTTTTAGAACACCAAAAGGCCCCATCAAGCGAACCGAGCTTTAACGGCAACACCAGCGTCAGCCACACGCCTCAGAGCAGTTGTTCGGAGGAGTCGCTGCGCAACCTGCCCCGGCCGCCCGCCTCCATCCAAAGCTTCGACCTAGTGGCGAGCCTACCGTCGACCACGGCGACGCAATTACCCAGCGACAACGAGAACGACGACGAGGACGACGAGGACGCCTTCGACGGGGACGACGAGGAGTCGTACGAGTCGTTCGACCAGCGACTGGTGGCAGAGCACAACGGTGCGGTGATGCTCACGGGGGAGCGCGGGCCCGGCAAGCCGCTCGGCTCGGCTGCCGATGACGAGGGCCTCTACGAGATCTACGAGTCGATCATCGAGACGGTGAGTTTTACCGGGACCCCGGTTTTGTCGCGCGTCACATTGTTTTTCGAGTATCGACTTTTTTTTTTTTCGTTTTAATCAAATGACGAATAGAAGCGTACACTGAGAGAAAACAATAAAAATAAGAGAATGTCCGGCTAAAATTACCATTGTGCACAATGAATTGGATGCGAGTCGAGGCAAAAAAGAAAAAAAATTTTTATTTTTAACAGTCAAGACTATATTGTTTTAACAGTTAAAATTGTAATTTGAATAGTTAGGGCAGTAAAAATTACCATCCTGGTGCAGTAAACCTCGAAAGGATCGGTTAACAAATTTCTCGCATAGAAATTTTTACTATTCGAACTACAATTTTTTCTATTGAAACAATAACTTTTACTGTTAAAAATAATAACTTGTTCCTTTTTTGCTATCTTGCATCCAATTTACTGTGCGCAATGGCAATTTTTGCTAAAATTTCTCTACAATTTTTATTATTTTTTTCTCTCAGTGCAGTACTGGGTTGAATATTATAAAAAAAAAAAAAAAAAAAAAAAAAAAAAAAAAAAAAAAAAAAAAAAAAAAAAAAAAAAA